GTCATCCATCCACCCACTCAGCTTCACCACCCAGTCTTAACCTTGACACCTTTTCAGTGTAACACCTCTAAACGTTTTGATTGTTTGAGCTTAACATGAAATATAAGGTCTGAACTTCATCGATTACTGTTACATATCTGTCTTCGGGGGTTTGGGGCAATTTGTCAAAAATGAAAGCAAACGTTTCTAAAGTTTACTGAGAAAAAAGAATGAGAATTTGATCTGTGTCTGTGATCTATGTAAATTGTGAGGGAAAGACATTTAGGCAAGAAGCAGACATTCCCATGGACACCAACTGTGCTCTCCTTCTTGCTGACCTGTTTCTCTAAGCGTATGGATCGGAATTCTACTCGCATTGGCAAAATCAAAACAAGGTAATTTGGCCAAGAAGTTTAACTTAAGCTTAAGGTGTATCGATGCTCTGATATCGTTAAATACTCATCAACTAGCAAGTTCCCTCTCCACTGATGTATCCACATGAACTAGAAATAAAGGAGACCAGTGACCACATCCGTTTCATATTTTTATTTATGCATAAAGATTCAGATTGACAAGAATTCTCCACAAGAATGATTGAAAAGAGGGATGACTTCAACTTTCCAATTTTCAACTTTCCCTTTATGTCGATCAATAGTCCTGCAGCTCCAATATAAGGTATAATCGAGCATGCACTTCTCACCAAGATTTCAAAGCGTGTCATACGATTCTTGCTCAGAATTTCTTTGATCACCTTTCAACTTTCAATGCTTCAGTATAGCTTTCAGATAGCATTTTATGGTAGACATGTGGAGGACATTTCCAAAATTTGAAGCATCAGAGACAATTCCCTACTTTGACCATATAATCATATGTTTTTTTCAGGTGAAGAGTTAACTTGCCTTTGAAAGTGTGTGTGATTGGTGCCACCGGTGGAGGAAATACGTATTCGGAAATACGTGGTATCATCACCATTTGATAGTGATTCTTAAACGTATGCTCATGATATAGTTGGAATCCTACAACCGATTCTGCAGAGATTTCTTATGAGTATGGACATGGTTTTGTCTCATTAATTCAATCATATAGCCTGAGGATCTAAACAAAACGTTACCAATCGCATTTTCTGAAAAGAGAACCGAGCTATTCAAAACAATTAATAATTACATTTTGAAGAAAAGAATGGATGCACTTGAAAAATGGATTTGATCAAATAATTACAAACTTTATCAAAACGTTACTAGGCTGACAATCGTCGCTGAAATATTGAAAACTTTAGGTCCAAAACACAACCTGTTGGTTAAGAACATTCACGTGCAGCAGAGATAAATTGCAATGCACCTTTTATTCGGTACCGTAAAATGCACATGCTGAAATTGTAAAACATGCAATGGATCGTTGCCAAAACATCACGGATCATGAAAAAACACGAAAGATTGCCACCTGCATACCACATCAGATTGCAAGAAACAACAACTGTACACCTGCAACCATCGTCAGGGTGTTTGAACGTTACAGACAGTACACAGAGCATGACGATGCCACAGGATGGCCGTTACCTGCGCACTTTGCATTGCAACAGGTTCGTCACAGCGACGGAAACGGCAGCAACTGCTGTAGGATCCTGCATCAGTCGACATTTTCTGCGAATTCTGTGTGTGGCAGGTATTCAAGCCTATCGCCCCTTTCGCGGAATGGCCTTGACCCATGAACATCAACGTCGAAGACGTGACTGAGCAAGAACAGTACAACGCTGGCAGATCCGTGACTGGCAGAGATTGCTTTTTACTGACGACAGCTGATTTTGATGGTCGTCCTCGGGCTTATCTTCGCATCTTCGAGTTAACCGACTTTCAAAGTCCAGTTTCCACCCTTGCCGAACTAGGCTTGAATTACTGGGCTCGATCGTAGCGCCACCAGTGGCTATTACCAGTTATGTCCCCTCTAAGCCTCTCCAATGGACCAATGGGATTCTACCTCTCGTATCACTTGCGTTTGCTTCACACAAAATGGTGGCGCCCAGTCAGGACAATCTGACCGAAAATCAAGATCTATATTGTGATAAAACGGGTCTTACATCGCGAAATGCATCAATTCACGTGAACACCTAAATTAAAACGAGTTAGCGGTGCACGTGCAAATCCTGCAATGGACCGAAATCTGCATGACAGTTTACGAACCGGATTTCGATTTCGCTGCGCGATTTTGATTGGACTATGCATAGACTCGTTAGTCCAGCCAAAATGTAACTCCATAATACCAGCCTAGTTCGGCAAGGGTGGAAACTGGACTTTTATAGTCAGTTAACTCACTTGATTCGGGAAGATGTATCTGCGCTGGAGACCCATTGGCGCCTGGCTGCATTCAGGAAGCGGGTGTGTTGATGGTTTGGGGAGGAATTTGTGGCAACCAAGGGACGGGACTTGTCATCATCCGTGGAAATCTCAACGGCCAGATCTACAGGGATGACGTTCTTCAGCCTGTGGTGTTACCACTCCTTCGACAACAGCAAAAGGGAACACGCTTACATCACGACAACGCGCTAGGCCGCACACAGCAAGGGTCGTCCAGGATTCCTGCTTGCACACAACATCGTCGTTCTTCCATCGTCAACTTGATCACAAGACTAAAACCACATTAAACATTTGTTAGATCATCTGGACACGTACCGTTTCTCATCCATGGCAACCTCAACGGCCAGATCTACAGGGATGACTTTCTTCAACCCGTGATGTTACCACTCCGCACACAGCAAGGGTCGTCCAGGATTTCCTGCTTGCACACAACATCGTCGTTCTTCCATCGTCAACTCGCTCACCAGACTTACACGACATTAAACATTTGTTAGATCATCTGGACACTACCGTTTCTCAGACAATGATATTGTCTTGTGAAATTGCGACCCCAGTTGGATACTAGTTTATACAAACATTATATTTGAAATAAAGGTGATCACTTAAATACTGTTAATTTAATTAAATGTTTGGGAGCATGTTTGCCGTCTAATTTCATTTGACCTTTTCCGTACTTTCTCAACATACTGAGGTGTTTTCAATTGTCAAACTATCAGCGCTAAAATATAAACTGCAGACTTGTACCTTCAGTGCTCCACAGGATGATGACGAATATTGGTTTAATATTTTGTTATAGCTTGAGTGAATCTGATCCCTTCATATTCACGTTTTACCTCTTAAACCTAATTTCCGTAATGAAGAAAGCATGAGAAACAACATCATCAAGTGATTTCTCCGACCGATCTATAATTTCCCCTAAGATTTTGTTTGTAATTTGGAGAGCATTTTGAAATCTCCTCTCTTTATTACGGTTGTAAGAGAGTACGGTAACTTGGACACACTGAAATGAAGATTTACTTTATCTAATGGTAAGATACTTCCTCAATAAATACATGTCAAGGTAGAAAGTCCAAAAAATCGGACATTATTAATTAAGCCAGAATTTCCATATGACTGACCCGGAACAATTGTCGATTACTCGAGAAAATATTGTAACAAAAGTCCCTAATCCGATAGTAGATGATACTTTCTTCTCCGCAGATATTTTTATCATATACGTAGATAAAAGAATCGCCTACGTAGATGTGAGTGGTATCGTAGATGATAATTTTGTTTAGGCTGGCACTAATTCGCTTCCATACTTATCAAATACATTACCATCGAAGAACCATTTCTTGTTTCCTTTTCAGCCGCAATCAAACCTTGTGAAGTATGGGCGTTTTCTTATTTTTGCAGATTATTTAGATGGCAGAAAAGAGGAAAATATGAAAAGGAAAAGGAAACTTACTTTTTCTCTAGATTGGTGTAAAAAGGCTCGATGCGACGTTTTTTAGTGTTGCGAATTTCCCCTTTTTTAGCCTCGATACAGACAGACCCCTACCATATCAGTATTGCACAACAGTAGGGATTCCCGATTAAAATAGTCTCTAGCTTGTCGCAAAGGCCGACCAAAATCGTTCTGGAGGTCAGACTCGGTGACTTGGTTTATCACTATATACATGCAAGATTCAACTCTTAGGCAGTAGGGGCGGTCGGGTAGCCTGATGGCTAAAGCGTTCGCTCGTCACGCCGAAGACCCGGGTTCGATGCCCGAAATGGGTACAATGTGTGAAGCCCATTTCTGGTGTCCCCCGCCTTGATATTGCTGGAATATTGCTAAAAGCGGCGTAAAACCAAACTCACTCACTCACACACACACTTAGGCAGTACATAGAGAAATAGAAAATATTGGCGAGCGTTTTCATCTAGAACTGACCTCATATTTGAAACGGGCCTTAAAGATTGAAACTACAGTACATATTCTCCAAGCAAGGTTAGATGACAATCTTCTCTTCGTGTGGCTTGAGTGATAAGATGATCATGAAAGCTGTCATACGCGGGTGACCCTGATACTGTGACGTCACAATCACTGAAAAGCAGTCCCCCTTGCGGAAATCAATGAAATGTTGACGCAAAATTCAATTATCGAATTTTCTCAAACATGTTCCCATTACTGTACACCTGTAATGAACACATTCATATAAAAAATATAATAGAGAAACCTCGAAGCAGTTTTAGTCCGTTTACTGGCGAGATCTTTCAGCTCAGACGAGGATCATCACACCATTACAATGGCGGATCAACCTTGCCGTGTATGACGTCATAATCAAAACTACTCCACAAAACTAGTCTTCACTTTTGTATATAATACTCACATGTTGAAGATACCACTTTCTAATAAATATATTGCTGTACTACACATTGTATAAAAACACGCTGTATGCAAGGGACTATATAGGAATACACGGTATTTATACTCTAAAAATGTGTGTTGTTTGCTGCTTTGAGAGGAATTCACCTTCGTATTATTATTGTTATTGTTATTATTATCATTATTGAGTCAGTTTTATCTCACATGTTGAATTAGTTACAGGTTTCCTCCTAGATAAGATAAATACTTTCCCCAAACATGAATATGGAAAGCATTCTATATTGATTTCAAACACAATTACTGATAGCTTTCGTGCGAAACGCACTTTTGTTTGAATCGCAGATTATTTTCAGTATTGGACGCATGCAATCTACATACATCAGGTGGGTCCTATTTCTTGAATAGTGCAATAGTTAAAGGGTTACGTGTATATCGCTGCTTTTTTTATATATGAACAATTGTTTCCTTTAACGTATTCAATTTATTTTCATTTGATTTAAAAAGAAATCCCAGATAGGTTAAAGTATCACAGATACGAACTTATCGATCCGTTTGGTTGCCATTTTATAAGATTATAAAAGATACCCAAGTCTTAACAAAACTTAATTTGTATCACTGTATATCCACAAGCCTAAAACATTCAATACAATTCTATTATTTGTTCGATGGCAGTCATAAAAGGTAAGACATGGGACTGAAGGACCCACTGACAAAGTGTCAACAGAGGAAGGACCATGAAATGAAAAAGAGTTTACATACTTTTTGTATCAAACTGTTGAGGGGGAACGTTTTATTCCATGATGAATGATTAAATGATTAATGACAATACGTAACTAGGAAGACACTTTTCATATTTTCCGCAGCTAACATAAACCTATGTGCAGAGTTGCGTCCCTTGGGCACGCCAGAAACCTATGATTGTGGGTTCGAATCCCGGATTATGTTTCTAGGTTTGTCAGCACCATACTTGTGTTCGTGGGTTTCACCGAAGTGGTAAACGTCTGAGACCTGCATCACTTCGGGCTTTCCTCCCACGTTAAGCTGACACGCCGTGATATAACTGGAATACTGTTACAAGCGGCGTTAAACCCAACTCACTCACTCCTTATTCTTATCTATTCATTACTATCTCTCGATACCTCCTTTTTCTGAAATCATCTGATATTTTCGAATATCTCCTGCTTTTCTTGGCGAATATGATTTTGGGGTCAAGCAGATTGCACATAAAAAACATTAACAGTAGTCACTCTAGTCCAATAAGACACAGACAATGTTCGTAACAGGCAACCGAACAATCTCCAAACCTCTTTGCCAGTCAAGTCAGCATATCACTGTCTGTACTGGTCAAAGGATCTGGATCACTGACTCACACTGGAGTATTGCATTCATCATACACTAATGATTAACACACCCTGGAGAGACCAAACTTTAGGTCATGATAATATCCAACCATGCTTGCTTCTATAATAAAACACTGGTCGTTCGCGAGTTGAAGTTGGTTTATCACACAAGTAACTAGTTGCTCATTAGGCGATTTGCAAACAACACATTATATATTGTCCAATTCAGAACTTTCAGTTGAGGTAGTTTGTACAATATCAAATTCGGGACTGTATGAAATAGGTTAAGACAAAATTGACAAGTTTTTTGTGTCTACAGAAACAGGTTTTTTTCTCGCCAAAACAAACAAAGCAACAAACTGTTGTGCTTGAAAAATCAATTATTCACCCCGTGAAGAGCAGGGTTAGAACTGATCTTCAGCAATCCATGCTTCTTGTGAAAGGCAACTGACGGATCGGGTGGTCAGTCTCGCGGACTTAATTGATCGTATCCCAATTTCGTACCTCGATCCTCCTTATGTCAGTCACTGGGTTGTCTGGTCCAGATTCGAGTATTTACAAAACGCAGTCATGTTGGTTGATTGTTGTTGAGAGCGGCGTTAACCAACAAACAAAGTTTAAGTACAACATTTTTCTTTGTATCCTTTTTTTATTTATTAAGGATAATAATCCTTTTGTGCTACCTTCTTACCCAAACAGGACCATACGTATCCCTCTATTGTACGATTCCGGCTGAATCATAACGATCGCGACAATTGATACTCTGGATCTGGAGAGTACAATCATGTTTCCTGTACACAGCAATATCTATTCAAACTGTTTAAAATACTATTTTGTGAGCAATGTGGACAACTTATCATAACGCAGCTTCTCTAATGTAACTTACTTTCTTCCAGCTCCACAATGAGAATAATCTACTTCATAGCCCTGGAAACAGTTTTAGTGACGCTAAGCCAACAGCGGGCAACCCAACATTCAACTGACTGCAAGCCCTGCCTCTGTAAACAACGCTATGCTGACTGCTCAAGCAGGATTCTCACAGCTGTTCCTCAGCATTTGCAAACTAATATTACACATCTCAGTCTGAGGAATAATTCACTGGAGGAAATTAAAAATGGGAGTTTCATCCACTATCCTGGCTTGACTGACCTGAATTTGGAGGACAACAAACTAAGTCTCTCTTCAAATGTTTACAGTCCTTGTGCGTTTTGTGGACTGGTACAGCTACGTGTTCTCAGACTCAGCGGCAACTGTGATTCTGCCTTAAATACAACATTAAGCTATTCCTATCCTGATGAATCGTTTAGGCAACTGAAATCATTGGAAGAGCTGTACATTGATGGAATACCCGAAACCCGGATGGGAACTGCCTTCAGAGAGCTGACAAATCTGACCTCACTGATATATACGGGTCACTGTAACCTTTTGTATATACAAGAACACATGTTTGTCACAACACCGAATCTTCAGTTACTGAACTTAATATCAAGGTGTCATATTTACGACATCCACATCTCCACTGAAGAACATTCACACCATAGATGTATCCGGAAACACTGGTTTGAGTCTTCCAAACGCAACCAATTCTACTTATGGGATGATTGGAACTAAAATAAAAGTTTTCAAGATGAACAAAGTTGTTCCGCCCTTCACGATTGGCGTGGTTGCAAAAAAAACATTTTTCAAATATTTGAGAAACACATCAATTCAAGAGCTTCATGTTGGACACAATTTCATAGAGATATTGGAGGGAGGTATTTTTGACTTTTACTGCCAGAAACAACCAAATGAACTTAGTTATTCACAGCATTCACATCGAATTACCTAATATAAACTCAATTGATATTTCCAATAACGTTATAACAATATGGGAAGGTCCGAGTAAAGGTTTAAAATCTCTTAAACGTGCAGATTTGTCATACAATTTCTGTTCTTGCATTGGAAAACGCTTTTTTTCTGAGTGACCGAATTTAACGTTTTTAAACATTTCAAATAATTTTATAGGTGATGCTCTACGTACACTCGGAAAGGATAGTGGGACCATCTTTCAAAACTTGACAAATATTGAAGCCCTTGATCTTTCAGGAAATAGAATCCGTTTTCTTCATAAAAACATATTTGAAACCAATACAAAACTAAGTCATTTAGATCTCAGCAACAATGAACTTAGAGACTGGGAACCTGATATCAGACAGTTGAAAAACCTTATTTATTTGGATCCTCAATTGGCTATTTCAACATGCAATGTATTTCAGAAATTTGAGTAATTATACATGTGTTCATCAAATGAATACACCAATCCCCTTGACTGAAGAAGTAGTAGATGGTTTACAAAGACAATGTAAGCCACTTTTTGGAATTATAACCAGTTGTCTTGTTGGTATAACATTTACCCTGTCGTTCTCTGTCATGGCCCTTGTGTACAGATATAGGTGGAAGCTGGGGTATCTCTATTACGTAGCCAGAGATCGTTATCGCCCTGTGGGAGGTGGTGTGGGAGGGGAACCAGAGTTTGACTTCGATGCCTTTGTGTCATGTTCTGATGAGGACTTGGATTTCGTGGGCAAGTTAGTTTGTCAGCTGGAGGGACAGGGCAGGCGGCTATGTATTCATCACAGAGACTTTAAACCCGGAGAACCAATCGCATCAAACATTGTCAAAGCTGTGCAGACGAGCAGACGAACACTCATCATACTTTCTCCGAACTTCCTGTCAAGCGCGTGGTGTCGATATGAATTTGAGATGGCGAAAATGGAAGGTGTTTATGAAGCCAGAAGCGTCATCCTTGTTGTGAAGATCGGTGAGGTTGAAGCAAAGTCTGTTCCTCGTGAGCTTCTGTACATGATGAAGACGGACTCGTACACAGAGTATCCGGAAAATGCTGTGGATCAGGCCACATTCTGGATAGCATTGAATGAAGCTATCGAGAACTAGGAAGACCAAAATTTGCTTTTACGACCAATGGAATCTGTTTCGGCGGATACTCGAGAATAGCTATCCCTAGCTTTGACGTTTTATCTTTTCAATAAAAAAAATAATAATTCTGAAACTTGAGACCAGCATCGCTCCTTATCATAATGACGATAAGTTGGGTACATAATATCAAGCAATATCAAGTTTATCTGATGGTTAATAATGGAATTTAAAACCATGTTAATAGAATTGAAACCTCGGTATGATGCCAAAGATCTAGATAGCATACGTGTACAGTAGAATTGTTTAGCTGTGAGCCAAAGAACATATATTACTTCTCTTATGCAATTAATGTGCAAATATATCATGCACATACACATTCCTGCACTTTGAATATTGTAAATACTGTTATTGAGTATAGTATTAGACTTATAGTATTAGAAGTTTTCCATTGCTTTAAATGTATTGTTGCATATAAAACTCATTATAAAGTGAAAAGTCCATCCTGATGTGTAGAAGCACTTGCATAAATGTAAGTAGTCATGCATCTTTAGATGTCATTGAAAACCTTAGACTTTAGACTTGAATCTATCCTGCCTAGAGGTGATACGCCAGGAGATGGATGCTTAAGCGAAGTTATTTGCCTGGTTTGTGTGCAACGACAAATCCGTGATTAATTATTTGTGTATATGAACATGTAGCGTGTAAGATAGTATACTTCGTCTGGTACATTTTGTATTGTACTGTTTGTGTACGCGAGCCTATGGTTTTGTGATTGCATGTACTATTGTTTGTTACTAGGTGTTTTCCTTATGCCCTAATTTAAGTTATCAGATAACGATTTACACAAGGAAATATACGACCCTACATCTAACATCCCTGTTCTCCTCAAATGGATGTGTACATAAATTTGCGTGTACGAATCCTGTAAAATTAAACTCTCATATTTCTTGATTTGAACATAAAGTTATGTAAACCATTTAGCATAAGAGTGAGTGAGTTGGGTTTAACGCCGCTTTTAACAGTATTCCAGTTATATCGCGACGTGTCAGCTTAATGTGGGAGGAAAGCTCGAAGTGATGCAGGTCTCAGACGTTTACCACTTCGGTGAAACCTACGAGCACGGGTATTGTGCTGACAAACCTAGAAACATAATCGTGGCGAACCGGGATTCGAACCCACAATCATAGGTTTCTGGCGTGCCCAAGGGCATATCCAGGCCTTGCTGTTAACATGAAATCTCTGTCGTAATCCGGAATACACACTGGCTACCTTACATCTTTCATTAGTTTTCCATGTCGGAAACTATCAGCAGAGCTATATAGATGATACAGTATACCTGTTGTGATACATTACCTGAAAAATAAAGAGCCATAAAGATCCGGGGTAGAATTGTCTTCAGCAACCCATGCTTGCTGTAAAAGGCGACTATGCTTGTCGTAAGAGGCGACTCACGGGATCGGGTGGTCAGGCTCGCTGACTTGGTTCATGCATGTCATCGTATTCCAATTACGTGGATCGACGCTCATGATATTAATCACTGGATTGTCTGGCCCAGCCTCGATTATTTATACAGACCGCCGTCTTATAACTGGAATATTGCCGAGTGCGGCGTTAAACAACAAACCAACCAACCTAACATATAAATCCTTGTATGATCATAATGTGTTATCAATTCAAGAGTAACATCAATTGTTGATCAATTGTGTGTGTGTGAGTGAGTGTGAGTGTGAGTGCGAGTGCGAGTGTGTGTGTGTGTGTGTGTTTCTTTCATGGTTTAACATGAATATCCCGCTCATATATTGTACACCGACCAGTCCTTGTTAGTGTGAGTGGCATGCGTACCCTTTTCATGAATCGCGTGCGTGCGTGCTTGCGTGCGTGGGTGCGTGCGTGCGTGCGTGCCTAACCATCTGAACCTCGGATACCATGTCACAGTTTACCATGAATATCCCGCTCATATATAGTACACCGACCAGCCCGTGTTAGAGCGAGTGGCATGCGTACCCTTTTCATGAACACCTGGTGTCATCAATCATTTTCAAAGATCCATTTATGTAATTTCACCATTTGCCTTTTACGCTCAGTGAAATCTCTTCGGCGACTGGTTATGCCGCGCGCCAGGCAGGGTAATTACAAGCATCATCTGTTAACGCCGACATTGCGTGCGTCGAGCAGACACTTTCCACTAGAAAATGGAGACGGGACTCACCAACAAATACAACGTGTCAATAACTTTCTGATACAACGCGTCACTCAATAACGGATACAACTCTCTTATCAACACAATGAATCACTCTCACCGATACAAATTGTAACTCTCATTGTAAGTCAGTATGTTCTTATACACTTCGTACTTGTATGAGTGAAAACCAAATGTTATGTTACTGTTTATTTCAATTTGTTTCCAAGCATCATTATAAACTAATTTTGCGAAACATTACTCCAAATAAGAGTCCCAGGGGAAGCAATAGTCATACTATTTTGACGTCTTTAGGCATGAAGTGCATGGGTAAAAGCGCCTATAAACGTCCAGTTTCCAGCCTTGCCGAACAAGGCTGCAATTATGGAGTTACATTTTGGCTGGACTAACGAGTCTATGCATAGTCCAATCAAAATCGCGTAACGAACGGTTCGTAAACAACATGGATTTCAATGTGCAGATTTCAGTCGACTGCGGGATTTGCAAAGCATGTGTACCGCCAACTGGGCGTCAACAGATATTTAGTAAAATCTTTCATGCTTTTAATCAAGGTGCTCACGTGATTTGTTGCACTTTGCGGGATAAGACCCGTTTTATTACAATATGGATCTTGACTATCGAGTAGATCGTCTTGACTGGGCACCGTCATTTTGTTTAAAGCAAATGCAAATGTTATATGAGAGATGGAATCTTATTGGTCAGATAGGAGGAACATAGAAGGGACATAATTCGTAATAGCCACTGGTGGCGCTACGATCGACCCTGGAAATTCCAGCCTAGTTCGGCAAGGTTGGAAACTGGACTTTTGTAGTCAGTTAACGCCCTTGCCTCGGGAAGATGCTGGGTATCCAACCACCGACCTTCTGCACTATTGGCAGAGGCTCTACCACTAGACCACGGAGGCTGTCAGGAAAGTATTAGATCGTATTAGATTATGAAGAAGCATGTTATAACCTGCATATATATGTGTGTGAGATCCGTAGGATTTGGACATTTTGAACAAATTCAGGTGCTACAATCAAGCTTCATAGTGAGTGAGTACTATTGTTTGTAACCAGGTGTTTTCCTTATGCCCTAATTTAAGTTATCAGTTAACGTTTTACACAAGGAAATATACGACCCTACATCTAACATCCCTGTTCTCCCCAAATGGATGTGTACATAAATTTGCGTGTACGAATCCTGTAAAATTAAACTCATATTTCTTGATTTGAACATAAAGTTATGTAAACCATTTAGCATAAGAGTGAGTGAGTTGGGTTTAACGCCGCTTTTGCTTTTAACAGTATTCCAGTTATATCGCCGTGTGTCAGCTTAATGTGGGAGGAAAGCCCGAAGTGATGCAGGTATCAGACGTTTACCACTTCGGTGAAACCCATGTGCACGGGTATCGTGCTGACAAACCTAGAAACATAATCGGGGCGAACCGGGATTCGGACCCACAATCATAGGTTTCTGGCATGCCCAAGGGACGCAACTCTGCACAGCGAATCGCGGCGCCTTAGACCACTGGGCCACCCATGCCCAAATCAAGCTTCATAATTTCAGAGGTTTCACAGAAGAAAGTGTTCAGACTATGGCATGAGCTCACTTGGGTTCATGGCAAAGGCAGCAAAACATTACTAAAACATAGTTACATAGTTTTTTAAATTTTATTCAACAAATTTAACAAGTAACAGCACTAAAATTCTAACAACTATACATCATTGCAACTTTTCAAATATAATATACCAGATGTACTATGATAAGAAAAGGCTATACAAATGTATTTACATTATATTGGTTTGGTCGGAAGCAGGTAGATGCCACCATGATATGCTTTCTAACTCTCTGCTTCTCTGTTGGCCTGTCATAAGGGCATATGGCATGTCTGCTGAGTGAACTTTGGCTTAATGCCGCTTTTAACAGTATTTCAGTTATAGCAAGGCATGTCAATTTATTGTGGGAAGAAAGCCTGAGGTGATATAGGTCCTTGGGTATAAGCAATTTGGTGATGCCCACCTCATAGGGGTGGTACTGATGAAACAATGGTGATGAAAGGGTCAACCTGATGTCCAGGGATGCTGTAACTAAGACAGGTCATAGCTGGTCACATGTCCATGCTGTGGGTAGTATTGTTCTTCAAAGATAACCCATCTTGAACAATTTTAATTCAGAAATGTCCAAGCATTACTTCTTAATGAATTCATGTGCACTTTAACACATGCTGCTGGGAGAATCAACAATTTACACATCTTATCCATGCTCTTTGGCATGATATGGGTAGGAGCGAGTTGGCTTTAATGCTGCTTTGAACACCTATGTCCGCTAACTGGGAGGAGAGCCCAAAGGAATGCAGATTGAAGATGTTTACCACTTTGCTACAGCCAGCAGACAAAGGTGGCAGAAATAAGATGTATCACACTTTGCTACAGCCAGCAGACAAAGGTTGCAGAATTAAGATGTATCACACTTTGCTACAGCCAGCAGACAAAGGTTGCAGAATTAAGATGTTTCACACTTTGCTACAGCCAGCAGACAAAGGTGGCAGAATTAAGATGTTTCACACTTTGCTACAGCAAACATAATTGGGGCGAACCATGATTCGAACCCACAATCATAGGTTTCTGGCGAGCCCCAGAGATGCAATTCTTCACAGGGTATCGCGGCGCCTTCGATGACCGTGCCACCGGGGGCAGAATTAAGATGTTTCACACTTTGCTATAGGCAACAAAAGTGGCAGAATAAGGATGTTTCCAACTTTACTATAGCCAGCAAACAAAGGGGGCAGCTTGAATATGTTTCCCACTTTGCTAAAAGATATGTTGCCGACAGACCAGTCCTCTAGAAAATGATACTAAACAATTCCAGACCAGTATAGCAATTCAGATGAAATTGGATGTGGTAACCAATACCCACTGGGAAAGAGAGATCAAGGTATTAAGTTTAAGATGACTTCGTAGTAAGATCTGATGGACAGCTATATAAGCCAAAATAAATACAATGGGATATTTCAACAATGTGGTTATGGATAGGAATGTTAAGTCATGCAGACAAACTGCAATAAGCAGCTGAAAATGATGTCTGCAAGTGCTGATTAAAGAGGAACAAGGCTGGGAAACTTGATCGAAGTCATTGAAACACCACTTTCCGTATCCACAAAGACATTGATGTATGTCAGTCTAAAAGTTCACAATCTTACTAAGACACAGTGTCAGTTTCAAACAGGACACCAATTATATTGTCCAGACTGAAAATAGACAACATATTCTGGCACATAGTTCCACTTTAACACCGACTCCCAGGTAATTTATAAACACTTTGCTAAATATTTAAAAGAAAATGATGGGTAGTATTAAGAATATTCAAGTTTGGTCAAGAAACTGCAATTTCTTTCAAAGTCATAACTATTAAATGGAAAAAAGCCCTCATTCAAAACTACTGATGTTATCTTAACAAGATGCTGTGTTGAGTTGTATTCCTGGGAATTACAACTTTGTCATGGCAAAACATTCTACATAATACGAATACGACATAAGAATATGATATATAAAAATATCTGGTATTCCATTTACATGTATGTACACATCCAGCAGAGACAGGAACAAACATGATGGGACATAAGAAGCTGCCTTTCAAACATGCTTAATATACAGTCATGAAGATGAAGCATCTACAGAGAACTGAACATCTTCCCCAGGCATGGGAGTTAACTGACTATAAAAGTCCAGTTTCCACCCTTGCCAAACAAGGATGGAATTCCGGAGTCACATTTTGGCTGGACGAACAAGTCTATGCATAGTCCAATCAAAATCATGTAACGAGCTTTCAACGTGCAGATTTTGGTTGACTGAACGATTTGCAAAGCATGTATACCACCAACGGGCGTTGACAGATATTTTGAAAACCATTTCATAATTTAAATCAAGGTACTCAAATGATATGATGCACTTCATGAGATAAGGGCCATTTTATTACAAAATAGATCTTGATTATTGATCAGATCGTCTTGACTGGGCGCTGCTATGTTGATTGAAGCAATTGTAAGTAATATGATAGGTGGAATCTGATTGGTCTGTAGTAGGGATATTGAAGGGGTGTAACAACTCGTAATAACCACTGGTGATGCTATGATCGAGCCTGGAATTTCCGGCCTAGTCCGGCAAGGGTGAAAACTGGACTTTTATTGTCAGTTAATGTCCTTGCCTCGGGAAGATGAGAAATGAAACAAGAACATCATTTTTTACACAATGAATCATAAATAACTTCTATTCTGATATTTTTTGAAACTCTGAAACGTGCAACGTAGATCGTGTTAGGTAGGCAGAGTATGTATACTGTTTTGTTGGTATTCTACCACCTACAACTCGACTTTCGTTAAACCGCTGATCATCTATAACGCTCATCAATTATTTGGACCCCGAAGGTAGTATTGTAGCGAGGTATCACTGTAACACATTTCTGTTATTTTTTAAGCTTGTGATGTGACATACCTTCTTTTTAGTACTGTCCTTACAAGTTGAATCAACTTAAATACTTATTACACGTATATTATGTTATCCTATTTGCCTTTGCTCATCTTTATTATTTAATAATGAGTTGATATATTGCTTAGAAATGTTAATTTTCATAAAGAAGAATATTTAACAATTTTATAATGTAGAAAGTCTAAAAATACCTCAGATCAAACTGACCATTTCTATGGTTAATCTTTGAATGAATTCAAAATAAATTAATAGAACACATATAACATCATTGAACAAGGTTTTCGTTATTAAAAGATTTTGGGGGTTTGACAGCTTGACGAAAAATATCTCAAATGGTCAATATGAAAAAATCACAACCAGCAGATCCTGGCAGCTCGCAGAGCACATTTGGGAGGGTAGTGGCATACCAAGACAGCTAGCAGTGCACAATGGGGAGTGTGGTGGCATACCCTGGCAGCTCGCAGAGCACAATGGGGAGAGTAGTGGCATACCCTGGCAGCTCGCAGAGCACATTTGGGAGGGTAGTGGCATACCAAGACAGCTAGCAGTGCACAATGGGGAGTGTGGTGGCATACCCTGGCAGCTCGCAGAGCACAATGGGGAGAGTAGTGGCATACCCTGGCAGCTTGCAGTGCACAATGGGGAGAGTAGTGGCATACCAAGACAGCTAGCAGTGCACAATGGGGAGTGTGGTGGCATACCCTGGCAGCTCGCAGAGCACAATGGGGAGAGTAGTGGCATACCCTGGCAGCTTGCAGTGCACAATGGGGAGAGTAGTGGCATACCAAGACAGCTAGCAGTGCACAATGGGGAGTGTGGTGGCATACCCTGGCAGCTCGCAGAGCACAATGGGGAGAGTAGTGGCATACCACGACAGCTAGCAGTGCACAAAAGGGAGAGTAGTGGCATACCAAGACAGCTAGCAGTGCACAATGGAGAGTGTGGTGGCATACCCTGGCAGCTCGCAAAGCACAATGGGGAGAGTAGTGGCATACCAAGACAGCTAGCAGTGCACAATGGGGAGAGAAGTGGCATACCCTGGCAGCTCGCAGAGCACAATGGGGAGAGTAGTGGCATACCAAGACAGCTAGCAGTGCACAAAAGGGAGAGTAGTGGCATACCAAGACAGCTAGCAGTGCACAATGGGGAGTGTGGTGGCATACCCTGGCAGCTCGCAGAGCACAATGGGGAGAGTAGTGGCATACCAAGACAGCTAGCAGAGCACAATGTCGAGTGTGGTGGCATACCCTGGCAGCTCGCAGAGCACACTGGGGAGAGTAGTTGCATACCAAGACAGCTAGCAGTGCACAATGGGGAGTGTGGTGGCATACCCTGGCAGCTCGCAAATCACAATGGGGAGAGTAGTGGCATACCCTGGCAGCTCGCAGAGCACAATGGGGAGAGTAGTGGCATACCAAGACAGCTCGCAGAGCACTATGGGGAGTGTGGTGGCATACCCTGGCAGCTCGCAGAGCACAATGGGGAGAGTAGTGGCATACCCTGGCAGCTCGCAGAGCACAATGGGGAGAGTAGTGGCATACCAAGACAGCTAGCAGTGCACAAAAGGGAGAGTAGTGGCATACCCTGGCAGCTAGCAGTGCACAATGGGGAGTGTGGTTGCATACCCTGGCAGCTTGCAGAGCACAATGGGGAGAGTAGTGGCATACCCTGGCAGCTCGCAGAGCACAATGGGGAGAGTAGTGGCATACCAAGACAGCTAGCAGTGCACAAAAGGGAGAGTAGTGGCATACCAAGACAGCTAGCAGTGCACAATGGGGAGTGTGGTGGCATACCCTGGCAGCTCGCAGAGCACAATGGGGAGAGTAGTGGCATACCAAGACAGCAAGCAGTGCACAATGTCGAGTGTGGTGGCATACCCTGGAAGCTCGCAGAGCACAATGGGGAGAGTGGTGGCATACCAAGACAGCTAGCAGTGCACAATGGGGAGAGTAGTGGCATACCCTGGCAGCTCGCAGAGCACAATGGGGAGAGTAGTAGCATACCAAGACAGCTAGCAGTGCACAATGGGGAGTGTGGTGGCATACCCTGGCAGCTCGCAGAGCACAATGGGGAGAGTAGTGGCATACCAAGACAGCTCGCAGGGCACAATGGGGAGTGTGGTGACATACCCTGGCAGCTAGCAGTGCACAATGGGGAGAGTAATGGCATACCCTGGCAGCTAGCAGTGCACAATGGGGAGTGTGGTGGCATACCCTGGCAGCTTGCAGAGCACAATGGGGAGAGTAGTGGCATACCAAGACAGCTCGCAGAGCACAATGGGGAGAGTAGTGGCATACCAAGACAGCTAGCAGTGCAAAATGGGGAGTGTGGTGGCATACCCTGGCAGCTCGCAGAGCACAATGGGGAGAGTAGTGGCATACCAAGACAGCTAGCAGTGCACAATGGGGAGAGTAGTGGCATACCCTGGCAGCTCGCAGAGCACAATGGGGAGAGTAGAGGCATACCAAGACAGCTAGCAGTGCTTAATGGGGAGTATATAGTGGCATACCCAGACAGCTAGTAGTGCTTAATGGGGACAGTGATGGCATACCCAGACAGCTAGTAGTGCTTAATGGGGAGTATAAAATGGCATAGCCATGAAGCCAATAATCAGACTTGTTTTCTTTCCTGTGGACACAGAACAGAAGTTCACCTATTCCAGACACTACAAGCTAGCAGGCATCTACTAGTTGATGATTTAACACGACAACAGGTGCTTGTAGACAGACATTACTGTCATCGACAGTTCAACAAGAACATGATGAAGGGAAGAACACCTTTCTGTACTGACCACAGTTTGTTTGGTTGTTGTTTAACGCCCCACTCAGCAATATTCCAGCTATATGACGGCTGTCTGTAAATAATCGAGTCTGGACCAGACAATCCAGTGATTAATATCATGAGCATCGATCCACGCAATTGGGATACGATGACATGCATCAACCAAGTCACTACCCGATCCCGTAAGTCGTGTTTTGGGACATCTCAAACCTCTCAACCAAAGTGAATCCTGCAGATGATTAACAGGGTAACAGGGTTTGTTCTACCTGCTGAGAGTATTGGTTTGTGGATAAACCACAACTAATGTTGAATGTAATTATACATCATTTTACAATCTGTATGATCATGGCAGATTGTATGAAACCAAATTACCAAAATGAAACATGAAGTAAACACTTTTCATCCGTTTGATCATCATGATGTGTGTGAGTACAATTTTTTCACGGCTTTTAGCAATGAGCCAGCCTCATCCCTCTGGGCAACATCAAGGACAGGCTCCACACATTCTACCAATGTAGGGAAACAAATCCAGTTTGTGGTGTGACAAGTCAAGCATTTGTCACTGGGCAACCCACATTCAAAGTTCTTAGAACTCAACGCAGTCACATTTACAGTAAAAAATACAAATATATATATATATTCAATTTTTGTGCCATTCACATTCTTGTCCTGTCAAAAAGTTATTAATGACAAAATTGTTTGAGCATCAACCCTCCTGTGGCAGCATGGAAGTCAGATGGAGTTGAAACGAGTCATAACAAGGAGAGGAATTCCTTCTCTACAGCATCAGCGATCTCATCATCCACAGATCCAATGGACTCTCCAGATTCACTTGACATATCCTTTTCAGGAGAAAAAGCTTCAACAGTCTTCTCATAACTTTCTAACTCTGTATCAGACTCAGGGACTTCATCCACAGGCTTGTTCTTCTTCTCTTCATCACTGTCCCCTGATGGAGAACGCTTCCGGATGTTCCAACCGCGGGGGAAGTCGCCTGCAAGACTCTCCTCACTACTGGAATCAGAAACATCTCCAAGAACTGACTTTCGCAGCCTTTCTTCCCGGTCTTCTTCATCCTCTTCCTCCGAGTCACTACCATCCTCTTCCATAGTCTCCTCCACCTCTTTGTCCATGAATTCAATGTCTTCATCTGAGAATGATAACAGAGGGTTATAGGAGGAAGAAAAAGGGGTGTTGTCTTTGTTGCCTCTCCTCCGTGTTCCCCCAGTTCCTGTTGAAGGTCCTGCCACAGCACCACCACCACTCGTCCCTGGACCAAACACAGCATCTACGTCGCCGTCTTTTAATCTGGCCTTCTTGGACTTTTTTTTTCTTACTTCTGCATTACCAGATGACTCCAAGTCTTCATTCATATCTTCTGATTTCCGCTTATTTGGGTTCGAGGTAGTAGGATCAGATTGTCTATCATCACGAGAACTCCACGGACCAGAACTTGTGGCTGTAGGTTCTTCAAGAGGGAACAGCTTTTCTTCCACTCGCTCCCATCGTTCAGCACATGACCATAGCCAGTTCACATTCACAATTTTCACACCTTTCACCTTATAAGCTGCATTCACCTTTGCTGTTCCTGGCTTTGCTGCCACTAAATGAGTTGTTCCTTCAGATTTCTTATCTCCATTTCTGGCAACAATTGAAGTCTGTATGTTTGCTCCCATGGCACGGGCAACAAGATATGCCCGACTCCTCTCAGGCTGCATATTAAGAGGGACAACACCACTAAACACAATGCTGCAACCTTTTAGCACCTTCCGTTTTACATAGGGAATAATATCTTTGAGATTTGGAAGCTTTGAATCAGACACTTTATTCTTTGTCTGATCATACAAGTCATAGAAAGCTGTGTGAATTCTAGTGAGGACCTCCTCCAAATGATACAGGTAATCATCTTCGTCGTCCCACTCTATCTCTTCCTCATCATCAACCTTAAAGCTAACACTCCTCGTACATTCTTTCTCGCTTGATTTTGCATCACCAGAATCAGAGAGTCCATCTCCATGGGTCTCCTTGCCAACTTCTGTATTATCAGCCGTGGCACTTTTACATCCAGGTGAATCTGGTTTTACGGTGGAGTCAGTTGAGTCATCATTTGGTACTATGGCTTTTTTTGTGGGGTCAGTAGCATCATCACTTGGTACTTTGGCTTTTATAGTGGGGTCAGTAGCATCATCACTTGGTACTTTGGCTTTTATAGTGGGATCAGTTGCAACATCTTTGAGTGACATGAGTTTTACTGTGGAGTCGGTGGCATCCTGATCAACTGATATGGGTTTAACTGTGGTCTCAGAAGCATCAAGTGATGTGTGTTTTACTGTGGTCTCAGTAGAATCATCATTGAGTGATTTGGCGTTTTCTTTGGAGTCCACTACTGCTGATGCCAAAGGTTCAGGGCCTTTCTGTTCACTGCTTTTCTCCTGACACACTGCCTCAGGTGTATTGTCATTTGTGTCAGATTTACCCTCTGTTTGAGACTTCTCCGGGACAGTTCCATTAATCTGTATCGCACTGCTGGTCTCATTGCTGGTTACTTCTTTCATCTCAACATCAGCACTTTCACCCTCTACAGCTTCAGTCTTTGCCTTTTGCTCATCCTGAGAATCAGAGGCCCTCCGAACTCTGTGGGTTATAGGAATGCCATCATTCTCAGTCTTGGTGAGTCCTAGTGGCGCATTAATATCAGCAGTTCCTTGGAAAAATCTGTAAGGCTTCACATGTATGAGGTTTGGCGAGAAGTTCCACACATCCTCCCGATCATCAATGATGCACACCATCGAATCCCCGCATGGAAACAGGGCTCTGAAAGGGAAGAACAATGATATATATGCATCCTTGATAAGTTTACCAGTACATATCGTTCAGGAGGAACAGGCAGGAGACTCTCAAGCATCGTGTGGTGCAAGGTGTAACTAGTACAGGGCACCTGTGAGGTGGTACACATCAATCAAGATACATGATTCAATACATCATTAGTGTACTATCAATGATTACATTCCACTTCCGGTCATATTGCCATGGTTTCTTTTGTTACAACTGCAGATGGATTAGTCCAAAACACCTCTCCTTTTCACATAAAAGTGCAGGTGTATCTGCCAACTGACCAACAGTTTCCCTTGTCCGGTGATGAAGCTGCAAAGCATTGGGTGATACTTCTAGAATGTTTGTGTGTATCTCTCACCTTACCTTCTCAACACACGCAATGTGAACCTCTAATACAGAATGTTATCTCATGATCCTTTACAGATATGCCAGGGATTTATCTAGGTCTCCACCTAAGTGCCTTGTAGTTCATATCTGCCTCTGAGCAGGTCTACAAAATCCCCAGGTGACAACCCCCAAATGGGGTCGAGAGCCAAAACAAATTAGTACCGGTAAACACAATTGGAATCCACTCCCACACTTGTGGCAGGTTGTGCTGGGTAAATGGCAGAAACAAAAGAATTTGGAATAAAGGAGTAAGGAACACAACTCTATATTTATCATCAATGGGAAATCATTGTCAACTAAAACCAGTTTCTCAAAGTCAGTTTTTTTTAATAATCCATGCCTTGTCATGCCAGCTGACAATGTACTGAGTTTCTTAGGTGAATGATGTACATAGCTTGAAAGTAATGGATTAGCAATGTCAATACAGAAAGTGAAAATGATTCGCATACATTTTTGACAAAATTTGAAGTTTATTTCACATGGCAGAATATGGTGCAAAAAGTATTGTAAGAATTCTGCCTCTATCGCCATGGTTGTCATCTCTGGCAATACCATGAAGGTCTGTAAATAATCAAACCTTGGGTGAGGTGAGGTGAGTTGAGGTGAGGTGTAACGCCAACGTGTTTTAGGTGAGATGAGGTGAGATTGGGTTTAAGGTTGCGTCCAAGATTGTTGCACTTATATAGCGACGTGCATGTACGTGTGTGTGTTTGTGTGGCTGCTTGTACTAGTCCGGACTGATGCCGATTTAAAGTGCTAGCACACTGAGATACCATGCCGCAGTTTAACATGAATACCCCACTCAGACACAGTATACTGACTCCGAGCCGACCAGTCCTTGTTTTAGCCCCTTAATGCCGAGCACCAGACAGGGTAACAACAAGTACCATCTTTTAACGTCTTTTGGTATGACACAGTCGGGGATCGAACCCCAGACCTTCTGCTCTGAGGCGGACGCTCTACCACTAGACCATGGAGGCGGTCTCACTAGGTTTTAAGATTAATGACCAGACAATCCACTGATTGATATGCCTTCAGGTTGGTTAGTTGGTTTGTTGTTTTACGCCGCACTCAGCAATATTCCAACTATATGATGGCGGTCTGTAAATAATCAAGCCTTGACCAGATGATCCAGTGATTGACATCATGAACATCCATCCAAGCAATTGGGATGCGATGACATGCAATAACCGAGTCAGCGAGCCTGACCACCCGATCCCATTAGTCGCCTCTTGCGACAAGCATAGTCACCTTTTACGGCAAGCATGGTTTGCTGAAGACCTATTGTACCGCGGATCTTCACGGGTCAATATGCCTTCAGGGTACAATGACACAAGTCATCTATCAAGTCATCAAGCCAGTTCTCCCATTTAATTTAATTTGTCTTTTACGGCCAGCTTGGGTAGCTTGGGGACCAATTCTAAGCAGCTTTCCCCACAGGGTCATTTTCTTAATAAGAAAGCCAAGAACTTTAGTTCCCTGGTGGAAGGCAGAAACTGTACTAATCTGTACTGGTCTGTACCTGATCACAACTTACTTGAGGTTGGCAGTTTTGGACATAGCATTGAAGCACTCGTCCCTAGAGAGAATTCTGTGGGAGAAAAACCTCTCGTCTGGGTCGAGGAGGCGGGCGATGGTGTGTGCGTACATTCTCACACCGAATGTGCAGATGTGGAGCTCATACATCTTGGAGATCTTCTCCAGGAACTCCCTGGTGTGTGGTCGGAACCGTGTGTGATACCACAGCAAGTTGCGACCATGCCAAAGTTGGAAGTGACTGACACCCTGTAAGTAAATAATTCTAGCTACAGAAACCTAAATTCATACTCGAACAAAGTTCCACTAAGCGATAATTCTAACAAAACCTGAAAAGTAACTTTCAATAAATCTGAGCATATCATAAAACAATACCTAGGATCTTCAGCATCGAACAAGTATGCATCATATCAACCTCACTTTGGGCTTTCCCCCCACATAAAGCTGACATGCTGTGATATAACTGCAATACTGTTCAAAGCGGTGTTAAACCCAACTCACTCATGTCAACCTAAATTCTGTCACTACCAAAATATACGGATCAGTGATCTGTCCTCTTCAGTTAATGCTAGTTAAACTTCTATTATTCAATGACCATGACAGTGTAGGTGATGTCACTGGATCTTTGAAACACTGTTGGAACTTTGATACTTGCCCAGCAATATGACTCGAAACACTGACAAAGGGAGATAACCTACCTTGAGGTTGGCCGGGATGTTATCATTGGTGGTGTGTATGAGTGTTTGATCAAGATCCACCAGCAGAACCAGTTTGCGGGTCTTGAGGAGACGGTTCTCATCCTCCTGACCTAGTTCCAGGGCTTGCTGAAAATGGGAGCTAAACTTTCACACATGCTCATTTTAACCATGTTAATTGACTGATTGTTATCAGGGTAATGAATAAAATCTAGTGGGAATGTTTGTTTGGTTGTTTGTTGTTTAACGCCGCACTCAGCAATATTCCAGCTATTTGAGGGCGGTCTATAAATAATCGAGTCTGGACCAGACAATCCAGTGTTTGACATTATGAGCATCGATCCGCGCAATTGGGATACAATGACATGCATCAACCAAGTCAACGAGCCTAAACACCCGATCTTATTAGTTGCCTCTTACGACACGCACAGTCACCTTTCACAAAAACCAAGGGTTGCTGAAGACTTTTTCTACCCCGGATCTTCAATGAAATTTTCAAAAAAGCCATGACATATAAAAGAACAGAAACTTCCAGGATGTACCAATGAAAGGAATCAAACTCTCTCAGTGTATAATATGCATACACTGAAGAAAACACTGTGTGAAGTAGTTATCATGAACCATCCTTAAAACGATGAGACGATTGCTATAAAGTATAACCATGCATGACAATCAATGCCTCCCAATCAATGTAACATCAACAAACAAATCATTCAAACCACTGGATTGATACTTCTACAGTTTCAAACTCCCACTTTTCCAATGACCCGTGAAGATTCCGGGATAGAATAGGTCTTCAGCAACCCATGCTTGCCATAAAAGGTGACTATGCTTGTCGTAAAAGGCGACTAACGGGATCGGGTGTTCAGGCTCGCTGACTTGATTGATCCATGTCATAGATCTCAATTGCGTGGATCGATGCTCATGATATCAATCACTGGATTGTCTGGTCCAGACTCGATTATTTACAGACAGCCGTCATATAGCTGGAATATTGCTGAGTGCGGCGTTAAACAATCAACCAACCAACAAACCACTTTTCCAAAGTAGCAAATTTATCTTTTGCAGCAAGGAAGTTTATAGTTTCTTGCTGTATTGATTCCACCATGATATACCTTCAAATTGTTGTCAAACTTAATTGTACTACCTGTTCGCTAATAATGAGCTCGGGTATGCTGTGCACCATTGCCACTGAAGCTGTCACAGTTTCCTTTCTTTCACCCGCCAGGCCAAGTTCACTGCAAACATACATTCAAGCTATGACTGAGGGGCTACACAATAATCAGCATAATCCTATAAAGTAATAATAATCTATAAACATTACACAGATATTACATCATGAAGGAAGTGAATGACAACTGCATAAATCCCTCTCATAATGCCAATATCCATTTGATTTTAAAAAGGAAGAAAATGTATTAAAAGAATCCAACATGACCATGATGACCATCTTGCAACAATGTATAACATGCATACTATTTAGAATTTACCTGTCCTGACCAATTGTTCTGTTACTCTGCTGACACAGTTGTATGGTGGTGACCGAGCACTTTTATTGATCATCTGTAATATTATGTAATTTTGTGTCCAAATTCATTAAATATTGTGTTCTTGCAAACTGTCATCATCAAGATATCACCAAGATATTGCTCCATATAGTTATCTTAAAGTTATCCATGACAATGCAAAATCTATGAACAGAATGTGACCCTTGGTTAACCCACAAAGGTGCTGGAAGCAGGTTTGCAGGTACACAGTAGGAGATGTAGCAGAAGGGAGGGAGTTGTGTTTATCTCAGCTTTGAACAGTATTGCAGTCACACTGACTCACAGGGAGGAAAACCAAAAGTGTAGCAGATCTAAACATTTCTCACTTTGGTGAAACCCACCAGCAGAGGTATGGTGCTGACAAACGCAGAAACATACTCAGGGTGAATATGGGATTTGAACCCATGATCATAGGTATCAAGCATGCAAACTCTACCCAGCGAAATTTTGATGCCTCAGACGACTGGTACAACCATGCCTCCAAAAATGTAGCAAATGTGTATCATTTAATGCTGCAGTCCAGGGTTCAAAAGTCTGCTTGTCTGAGCAGGGGTAGAAGTTACCATTTTTAGCCCACTAGTCCTCATAATGATAACAGATAGCAAAACCCTTAAAAATGGTAAATTTCTACTAGTCCTTATGATACCTTAACGACTGGGCAGTTTGGCAAGGACTATAGGACTAGTGCCAATTACTGACCCTGCTGAGACGACTAATATTCAGGAAGGACTGCTGATATTTACTTGCAGACGACCACCTTCAGCAGTAAGTAGATGAAACTCTGTAGCAGATTATTATTGCCGACTAGTGAAAACGTCTCCGGGCAGACGCTGTATCACTAGACCACGGAGGCGGCCCTTTTACGATCAGCATAGGTTGCTGGGGACCTATTCTAATCTGGAATCACCAAGGGGAAGATGTATACAAGAGTTCCACTAGCACTTAGATAACTTTGTAAACAGGTCCTTGTAGTGGCAGTACCTCCTCAAGTCAGCTCCACACATGGCACACATGTCCTTCATGACTGTTGGATGGCTGCACGGCTCTACTGACGAGTTGCCAAACGTCAGCAACAAGGACCTACATAAAACAAACTCTGGATAGTTTATCAACCAAACATTTTCATCATCTTGAAACCAGAACATAAAATAGAAAGATTTTTAGAAATTCACTGAAATATAGACACATTTTCAGGCAATGCAATTAGTTTAAGAGGTTAGCAAATTCTCAGTTTGTTCTTACAGGAAGTTTGTTCTTACAGGAATGAGCGCAAGATAAAATAACTAAATTTATTTGAGACTTTTCTGTTTCCCACAATTAACACTTGACTGACAACTTTTTACATGATTTATATTAAAATTCCTTTGGTGTAAACCTTAACCAACAACAATGCTGTGCCACAGTAAACAACTCTGGGTTCTATGTAACCTGCCTGTCGCTTGAACCAATTGATTGATGTCATGACAATCAAGATTTACTGAAGGGAATAATCCAACAAATATTTCATTTTGAAATGGGCACTCTTGAAAAGATCAATAATTTTGTTTAATCTTTATGAAATGAAAAATATGTGACAATGTGTGTTTCCGGCTTTCCTATAGACCCGAATCTGTTGATGTGATGAAAATGTAGTGGATGAATTTGAAAAATCATGTGTTGACATATTTATTCTGATAGATTATCAAAAGCTGTCTGGAGTAACAAAGTAAGAAAAACAATTGTTGCAGTTACAGGTAAAAATGTGGTGCCATTCTGGTTTTAAATCCCTCAGTCATAAATTGCCCAATAATTGAAATGTGCAAAAGGGCACTGTACTCCTAACATTCTATTCGATTATTACATGGGGTAATGTCAAAATTGTCTCCAAATATTGGGGCAATCATTCATAATGAAACAAGCAGGATATGAATGTGCAAAATGTGATAAAGTGTTTCCAATTACAAAATGTAGACTAATCTGTTTATCAACGTTTGGTGTATGAAATGTAATCAGGAATGACTGCGTAAGTGACAGTGATCATACCCAGGGTTAATTTCTTCTCCTTCTTCCACTTCCACGGATTGAACAATACCGCCATCGGAAGACTTCAATTTCACATTTTTCTGCGTTGACTGCGGATTCAGTACATCGTACAGTGCAAGCACCACACCCCTTGAAATACTCGTCCCCTTCCTGACTTTCCATTTTGTTACTTTAATGGGAAATTTGCCAGGAACGACGACTTTTCTAACCTCAGCTTCTGGATCGTCCTCCATGTTGAGTGAAGGATCGCAGTAACAGCAACGCAGCAGCGAATAATTTACAAATAAGACTCTTTTTTGACAGTGGGACAAAAGTATTATATGTTTTAGCGATTACTTGTTGAATTTTCTTGTCATTGGTTTGTATATTTCACCAAAGAAGTAGCTTCAAACTCTTTGCGGATATTTGTATTTATATTTTGACCAATCAAATCACGCTACATTCAAGCGGGCTAATTCAAAGGGAATGACATCAACTATTGGACAAGTCTATTGATTTCGTAATCCAGTCAGTGGAGTATTGTAATATAAACCTTCTGTTATTGTGAGATTCTGTTATGTATTAATTCGATAATAAATGTTTTCTTTTGGCCGTCTGACAACTATGCAAGACCTTTGAACCAATAACCGCCTACGTCTTGTTATTGTTCAGATTTCGATCACACGTTGTCTTCAGTCATCAGCTGGTCATTATTCTCATTTTCATAATTTTTGCTGTCACATACATATTTACACAAAATGTAAGAACATTTTCCCATTCTCTATATTATTAAACTTAGCAATGGGCACGAATGCATTTATCACTACAGTCTAAAGGTAACGATAATTGTATTTTTGATAATACGAGTTCTCCATTTTCCCCCTATCTTTCATACTCTTAGGCCTTTGACTCATATTATTGTTTTCAGGATAATGGCTTTTGGAATGTAAGAAAGTGCACCATGTATGTTTTGCAAGTTATAACGGACCAGCATCAACAAGAACCACTGAACTGAATGAGAACACCCCCACCTTCCTATGCAAAATGGAACAATTAAAATATGAAATTGAAAACAAAGACAAATTTGCTGAGGCTTGCTATAGAATACAGCCATCACACAAAAATGGTTAAACAAAGAACATATTCATCCTCAGTTATCCTGATTATCACCATTCTGTTATAAGGGTTTTACATTACCCAGAAATATACGTCGAGCACGCACATATGCATAGCATTGCTGCAGAAAAAAACACAGTAATGTTCTGTACCCAGTTTCTGACCTGTGAGTTGTTAAGGTCCTGTGATTAAAGTACATAGGATTATCAAATCTTACAGTACACAACACTACAACACACCCTTTCCTCACTTTACAGGATCCATATTTCCTGTTCGACACTTGAAATTGATTAGTGGGGGTACATGATCCATATTTCCTGTTCGACACTTGAAATTGATTAGTGGGGGACCTCTGTTTTTGTAGGTCAAGGTAAAACAATGTGTTATGGTAAGTACTCTGGGGTGATTTGTACAAAGCGATCTTAGCGCTAAGATGATCGTAACTCCCATACCTTCACACAGACTTACAACAGTTGTAATGCGGCTGGTTTGTACAACGGTACCCTGGACTCATTGCTACCTTAGTCTTGTTACTGAAGTAACATCACAATCTCCATCCCATCAGTAACCACAGAATCTCTTTCACACATGAACATACATGTACATTGATTGGACGACTATATTTGGGATTGTTGTGCAAGTCAGAATCACATGTACCTATGTAGCAGACAATAGGTCAAAAGTATTTGTATTTGCTAATAGAATGGAGATATAATACATTAGAAAATCTAGGATGAGGGCATATAACAAAAATGTTTATACATGTACATGATGTATGTGCGATTTCTGTGTAATAAAATCCATGGTTCGTGTCCTGAATACATCATTCAAAATGTCCCCTTGTGTTCTAGGCTTATATGTATCATCACTTTTGGCTTGATTATTAAGGTATGTGAGATGGTTTGACAATGGATGGTGAGCCTGCTTCAGTCATTGACCAGACCCCCAGCCAGGTGTCGGGGGTTCAGTGCAGTGTGAGGACCAGCGGCAGTACAAGGAAGAATACTCCATACCACAAGACTCCCCGGAGTCGACGCTTCGGTCTCCAAGGTCAGTGTCTTGGTGTTATCATCCAAAACAATCCTTAATTAACTGGATTTAACTGTGTCTATCCATTTCAAAGCTGCACATGGACGCAAATACATTACATTGTGAGTCCTAGGGGATGCGACCCGTGAAGATCTGTGGTAGAATAGGTCTTCAGCAACCCATGTTTGCCATAAAAGGCGACTGCTTGTCGTAAAAGGCTACTAACGGGATAGACCCATGAAGATCTGTGGTAGAATAGGTCTTCAGCAACCCATGCTTGCCATAAAAGGTGACTATGCTTGTCGTAGGAAGCAACTAACGGGTCAGGTGGTCAGGCTCGCTGACTTGGTTGATGCATGTCATCGTATCCCAATTGCGTGGATCGATGCTCATGATGTCAATCACTGGATTGTCTGGTCCAGACTCGATTAGTTACAGACCGCTGTCATATAGCTGGAATATTGCTGAGTGCGGCGTTAAACAACAAACAAACAAATCCTTGGGGATGCAAAAGAATTTGATTGCTTAAATCAAATAATAATACTCAAAATTGTTGATTGCATTTTGCATTTTACACATAAATGACATTTATATTCTGTCACATAACACACTAAATATTGAGAGTGTCAATGATTGATTTTCTTCAGTCTAACATTGAAATCTTCATCTATAATAGGCTTTAAGGTCTCTGAGCATATATAACAAAGACTGTAAGATTCTTGAAAATCAAATGAAATGTGCCTCATCTTGACAGCCTGGGACTCCCTTTTACATGCCATCCCAAAAATTATACTGAAAACCCTGTGGACTCAAAAGTAGATAGACCCAGGTGAACCCCTGTGTTAAGGTATAAAACTTCAGAGGTCCCCTAGACTGAGCTACTACAGATAAAATAGACCCAGGTAAGTCCCTGTGTTAGGTAGGGTAATTCAGAGGTCCCCTAGACTGAGCTACTACAGATAAAATAGACCAAGGTGAACCCCTGTGTTAAGGTATAAAACTTCAGAGGTCCCCTAGACAGAGCTACTATAGATAAAATAGACCCAGGTAAGTCCCTGTGTTAGGTAGGGTAATTCAGAGGTCCCCTAGACTGAGCTACTACAGATAAAATAGACCAAGGTGAACCCCTGTGTTAAGGTATAAAACTTCAGAGGTCCCCTAGACAGAGCTACTATAGATAAAATAGACCCAGGTAAGTCCCTGTGTTAGGTAGGGTAATTCAGAGGTCCCCTAGACTGAGCTACTACAGATAAAATAGACCAAGGTGAACCCCTGTGTTAAGGTATAAAACTTCAGAGGTCCCCTAGACTGAGTTACTATGGATAAAATAGACCCAGGTAAGTCCCTGTGTTAAGGTATAAAACTTCAGAGGTCCCCTAGACTGAGTTTCTATGGATAAAGTAGACCCAGGTAAGTCCCTGTGTTAAGGTATAAAACTTCAGAGGTCCCCTAGACTGAGCTACTATAGATAAAATAGACCCAGGTGAACCACTGTGTTGAGGTATAAAATTTCAGAGGTCCCCTAAACTGAGTTACTATGGATAAAATAGACCAAGGTGAACCCCTGTGTTAAGGTATAAAACTTCAGAGGTCCCCTAGACTGAACTAAGATAGAAAAAATAGACTGACACAAGTGATCCCTGTGAACAACTATAGATAAAATATCTCAAGACTTCTGTAATTGCTAACACGAGCATGTATTCTATATGACTGGGTATTGACACCTGAAATATATATTTTCGCAGGTTCGAAGTCTCCACTGATAGAAAAGACGCCAACCTCCCCAAGACATGCTCCAAGCTTTAAGGGTAACTTTGTGTAAATGCCATGTTGTGTTTATCACTTCATTATAACCAGGGGGCACGGGTGGCCCAGTCGTCTAAGGCGCCACGATTTACTGTGCAGAGTTGCGTCCCTTGGGCACGCCAGAAACCTATGATTGTGGGTTCGAATCCCGGGTTCGCCTCAGTTATGGTTCTCAGTTATTTGTCAGCACAATACCCGTGCTCGTAGGTTTCACTGAAGTGGTAAACGTCTGAGACCTGCATCACTTCGGGCTTTCCTAACACATTAAGCTGACATGCCTTGATATAACTGGAATAATGTTAAAAGCGGCGTTAAACTAAACTCACTCACTCACTCTTTACTGGATGTTTACTCATTATAACCATTGCTATCTGCTTGTATTGGCAGCCTGTGCCACTGTTTATGTCATGGAACATCCATGTCAAGAGAGTAAGTTTGGTTTAACGCCGCTTTAAACAGTATTCCAGTTATATCGCGGCGTGTCAGCTTAATGTGGGAGGAAAGCCCAAAGTGATGCAGGTCTCAGACGTTTACCACTTCAGTGAAACTCACGAGCCCGGGTATGGTGCTGACAAACCTAGAAACATAATCGGGGCGAACCGGGATTCGAACCCACAATCATTGGTTTTTGGCATGCCCAAGGGACGCAACTCTGCACAGCGATCGCAACGCCTTAGACGACTGGGCCACCCATGCCCCCGAATGTCAAGAACAAATGCTAGTGTGGACACTGTGTGTAACATACAGGAAACAGCTTGTCTTTCTGTATAATTCCGATACAAATATTTCCACATTTAAATATTAATTGAATTGAACATAAGATGGCAGAATTATTCGAAATAACAGAAAATAAAGTTTTGTCATGAACCCATTTTAGTATTTATCACATGTTGTTTGAAGCATTTTGTCTTCATGTAATAGACTGTAGTTCTTTATCATGTTTATGAAGAAACTCTTTGTATTCTCATGATGAAACTGTATTTACAGGTCTTGTGAACAAGACATGGAAGCTGTATCGGTTATCTCCCTTATACAACTTCACACCTACACCAAGTCATTTGAGGAGATATGGAACTTCTCTCTCAGTTTTAGTAGGCGAGGTAAGAGAGCAAAGGGTTCCGTGGTTCACGGAGTTAGTAAGCAGGGCCCTGTTGCACAAAGTGATCTCCGTTCTGTGTCTGCCATAAGGCTATGTTAGAGTATGGGAGTTAGAAACATCTTACTGCTAAAATGTCTTTGTGGAACAGGGCCCCCAGACATTGTACAAGGAGGTCACACCTGTTACCAGTAATACCAGTAATACCAGTATTCTCCTACCCCAAGTAGCTGAGACCAGCTTAGGTTCAGGGGACCAATTCTAACTGCAATCTCCACAGGGTTAACACTTACCATATTTGACATAATAAGCGCCCCGTTCTTATAAGCGGCCACAGCGATGTTTGCTAATATATTGGCTAGTGAACAATCCCAATTAGCACTCCTTCCGATTGATCAATAATATGAGTTATTTATTCCCGTATAATACGCATGTGTTATATGCACCCTTAATTATGGGCAATTAAATTCTGGAAAAATATATCAGTCATATGTAAACATTTCAGGCTGTCAGCATAAACCACAAAATTTATCTTTCAACTTTCTTTTTCTGTTTTTTACACCAAAATGATATTCTAATAAGAGTCCCCTATTTCTAATTTTATAGAGTGCCCTGGGCGCTTATTACGTTGAATACGGTACATAGATTTTAAAGTGGATGATGACATCTTGTAGCTTCTTTCTCATTTAGAATCTCAATAAATGACACTGAGGTTGAATTATTGAATCGACCAAGACCATGGTGCTGGTGCTATTCCAAATATATGTTTCTCTCTCAGCCACCCTTCCCGTGTGGCTGCAACCCCAAACTTGGCTCTTTGAATAATTTTCTGTGGATTTATGATTATAATGGAATTAATATATGGACAATCATTAACTGAGCTTACTAATGTACTTTACTACACTCTCTCTTCAAAATAGTGGAGTAAGTTGTAGACTACTAGTGGTCAAAGGTCCAGCAATTTGCTATGCAGAGTTCCTTCTGAGCTGTGCCAGGATCCGCTTATGGTGGGTTTGATACCTGATTCACACCAGTTATGATCCCTGACTATCGGTGTCATACCTGTGAGTGAGTGTGTATGGTTTTACGCCGCTTTTAGCAATATTCCAGCAATATCACGGCGGGGGACACCAGAAATGGGCTTCACACATTGTACCCATGTCGGGAATCGAACCCGGATCTTCAGCGTGATGAGCGAACACTTTAACCACTAGGCTACCCGACCGCCCCTAACTGCAATGTGTGAGTGAGTTTGGTTTTACGCCGCTTTTAACAGTATTACAGTTATATCGCGGTGTGTCAGCTTAATGTGGGAGGAAAGCCCGAATGCAGGTCTCAGACGTTTACCACTTCGGTGAAACCCACGAGCACGGGTATGGTGCTGACAAACCTAGAAACATAATCGGGGCGAACCAGGATTCCCCACAATCACAGATTTCTGGCGTGCCCAAGGGACGCAACTCTGCACAGCAAATCGCAGAGCCTTAGACGACTGGTCCACCCATGCCCCCAACTGCAATGACGAATACACGGAGAAGGTATATATTGTCAGCTTTCGATGAGAATCTAAGAGGGGGCCATCAAACATTGTCGGTCATGAACTTCTAATATGAAAGATAGATTTTACTTATCCATTGAAATTGTTAATAAACGACTTCGTACAAACAACATCGGTTAACCAAACAAGCGTTATCTAGATGAAGTAAGCATTGTTATTTTTAATACCAATGTTCCCCTTAAAGAAGTAATCAGGATCTGCATCAATGTTAGACTTCCTCACACATCAGCTGACATGCAGCTTTGATCTAACCTCTAATACTCACTTGCTACTAAGCTAATACCATGTGGTTAGTTTGTGTTGATTTGAGATACACTATTCAAGTCTGACGAATGTTTAATGAACCTCGTGAAGATCCGGGGTAGAATAGGTCTTCAGCAACCCAAGCTTGCCGTAAAAGGCTACTATGCTTGTCATAAGAGGCGACTAACAGGATCAGGTCCGGCTCGCTGACTTGGTTGATGCATGTCATTGATCCCAATTTCGTGGATCGATGCTCATGATATTGTCTGAATTGTCTGGTCCAGACTCGATTATTTACAGACCGCCGTCATATAGCTGGAATATATTGCTGAGTGCGGCGTTAACAGCAGGGAGTGATTTATTTATATAGTAATGGTATCATTTATCATTTATCACCTCATACCCTACCTTGCCTTGCAGCGACAGAGAAGAAGCTTGATCACAGAAAGTAAGGACTTGGTGAGATCCCTGATCAGCCCATACCGAGAACTCACCATAGGACCAGGTGAGGGGATATGTTTTTAGACAGGGACTGACAGAAACAGATTCTTAAAATGGGAGTTAAACTCAAACTAGTTGACAGCAAAAATCTCTTGTTAGCTGTGTCACATGGAGAAATTCACTTAGAACAGTACAAATAATGTATTGTGATATGTTAGACACGGGAGACAGGCCTATCATGACAGCCCTGGTTCATGTGAAACAGTGATTAGAATAACTTACAGTTTTAGTCTGGAAGCCTTGCCTTGCAGACAATTACTGCTGGGAACATCTCCATATGTTCAAGTGACATATTTTTTACTTATCCTGCATTACTCCTTAATGCATTCACTTGGGCACGGTTGGCCCAGTCGTCTTAGGCGCCGCGATTTGCTGTGCAGAGTTGCATCCCTTGGGCACGCTAGAAATCGATGATTGTGGGTTCGAATCCCCGTTCGCCGCTATTATGTTCCTAGGTTGGTCAGCACCATACCTGTGACTCACTCACTCACTCACTCACTCACTCACTCACTCACTCACTCACTCACTCACTCTCACTCACTTAGGGTAAGCAGTGAATGCGTTAAGGAGTAATGCAGGATAAGTTACAAATGAAGAAAATATTTAGATTTTACTAAAAGCATGTAACCATGCATGATTTGATTATCCATAAACTTGTGGAGCTGGGAGCTTTCACTTTGAATGGTAAGTCCAGATTAACTGGGTTTCAATTCTGAGCGATTTGAGCTTTAGCAAAAACTTGATCATTTACCATGTCCAAGTTTGAAATTCCAAGGTTTTAATAATTTGCATTCAGTGTTTTCATGTGTTAATTTACATAAATTTGTCCTGTTGGGTGAAAGTAGCTTAAAGGGCAAGTTCACACGGAAATTAACCTATTTTTCTTGTACATTTTCCACATTAAAAGTGTTAACCTAGAAGTGTCATAGACAAAAATATAAAAATATCACAATTAATTAACATATTTTTCGCATTAAAACGATTTATATTTTTCACATTTACCAAGTGTTCTATTTCCACAACAAAAACACCATGGCTTATGCCCCTTGCAATATGACGTCATTGGTGCCAATTGATAAACATTATGACGTCATCATGCTTTGTTAGAGCCGCTTCACGTGGTGTAGGTCTAGGTGTGTGATTCTAGCGTCTCAGATGCCAGCCAGCAAAGTGTTATGCTGAGTCACCACTGCGCCGGAGTGTGTCGTAGGCCATGTTGTTTTACCGCAAACTGGTACTTGATATCTTTTGCGTTGAGAATAGACAGGGACCCAGTTGAATTGGCACCAATTACGTCATAATCTAAGGGGGATAACTCAGGCCTGTTTAGCTCGAAAAACGAAGGCCTCATAACGGCATATCATTTTCACACTATTGTGAGCTTCCTACTTTCACTGTGAAAAAAATGAGTGTATATTTTCAAACACAGATACTAACTAATTCTAAAATTGCGTTTTGTTTAGAAAAAGAAAGAAAGTAATTTTTGCGTATACACTTCCCCTTTAATCACTGTCTGTATAATAAACATCATCACAATGTATTAAAGATTTCTCAGTGTAGCCTTCAGGCCACTGGAAGTTATTCAAAATATTCCTTTACGATCTTGACACTGCCATTGGCACTCTAATTATTTAACACATTGAGTTTCAAACCCTTTGATTGACAGAATTATGAGAAATTCTGTCAAACTACCAGTGTGTGATATTTCATTTCAGATTCTGGATTATATTCTCCATGACTTGAGTGTCCATGGAAGGCTAAAAAAAATTATTAGTCTTGGTTCTCAGGCACTGCCCACATCATCATAAAGTTCATTGCACGTTTCGTTTTTGTTTCCATTTTCATTTTTTTTTGTACATTGTGTTTAAGTATTAGGATATTTATATTTTTTTGAAAATGGAAATAAAAACAAAACGTGCAGCAGACTTGATGATGCGGCAGGTGGTGCCTGAGAACCAAGACTATTATATTTTTTTTAGACTAATGAGAGATAACTGTTGACTTAACGAAATATGTGGGATTTCATATGAATGTCCATTGCGTACCCTATGATACGATGAATGCTATCGCATTGTATTGACTATGTATTTTTCAGATGATCCTGAGTGCATTCAAATTCTCATCACAGGGAAAACTTTGAAAGGTAAACATAACTCTAAGTCAAATTGTAAACGTCTTTACGATAAGTATATGTTATAGCTGTTTTAGTCTTTGTATCAAGATTGCCATCACTGAATCATGAGTACATGGATTATAAGTGAGTGTGTTGGGTTTAACGCCATTTTGAACAGTATTTCAATTATATCACAGTGTTATAGACATGGGTGTAAGCTTTCCCCTGTCTTCAGGCGATCGCCTCCGTGGCCTCCGTGGTCTAGTGGTAGAGCATCAGTCCGGACCAGTACAAGCAGACACACACACCGATACACTTGCATGTTGCTATGTAAGGGCAATAATCTTGGACACGACGTTAAACCCCATTTCACCTCCCCTGTCTTCAGGCATGTCTGTGTTTGTTCTGTGTTGAAAGGACCGTCTCTGTGGTCTATTGGATAGAGGGTTCTGGGAGACCTAGAGACATTCACTAAGTCTACAGCCTACACATCCATCATCACTCTGTGACTTTAGACACTAGTCTGTAGCCGAGTCTAGTAAAATTTCTCTCAGTCTATGAAGCTTTGTCAATAAAAGTCCATACATTAGCACTAAGATCTGAAAATGATGTAAAGAGACAGGTTCGGGCTCGTAGACTCCAAAGTTTTTGGCACAGACTGTATCATGATCATACAAGCTTCACATTAGAATCAGTGCCCAGCAACCTATGCTGGTTGTACTTGGATTGGGGGGTCAGGCTCAGTGACTTGGTTAACTGCATGTCATCATACCCAACAGTGTCGATAGTTACTCATACTAACATTTACTGGATTGTCTGGTCAAGACTTGATTATTAACAGACCACAGTCATATAGCTGGAATATTGCTGAGTGTGGCGTTAAACAACAAATCACATTGTGGGTTGGTAGTAGAGAAGTAAATAGTTTCAATTTTTTACATACTGTATCGTTCGCCACTCAATCAATAAGGTAGTGTGTTCGATCCCCGACCGTGTCGTACCAAAAGACATTATTAGATGGTACTTGCTGTTTTCCCTGCCTGGCGCTCGGCATTAAGGGGCCAATTTTTTACTTATCCGGCATTACATCTTAAAGCACCACACAAGGATGCATGAAGAAGTAATGCAGGATAAGTAAACAAATGTAAAAAATATTTCGATTTTTCTAAATTTTTTACTTATCCTGCAAGGGGCACGGGCGGCCCAGTCGTCTAAGGCGCCCTGATTTGCTGTGCAGAGTTGCGTCCCTTGGGAAGACCAGAAACCTATGATTGTGGGTTCAAATCCTGGTTCACCCCGATTATGTTTCTAGGTTTGTCAGCACCATACCCGTGCTCATTGGTTTCACCGAAGTGGTAAATGTCTGTGACATGCACAGCATTAGAAATTGGTACTAGTTCTATAGTCCTTGTGAAACTGCCCAACAGTTAAGGTATCATAAGGACCAGTATAAAATTGCCATTTTTGAGGGTTGTGCTACACCTGATGAGACCTGCATCACTTCGGGCTTTCCTCCCACATTAAGCTGACATGCCATGATATAACTGGAATAATGTTAAAAGAGGCTTTAAACATAACTCACTCACTCACTTATCCTGATTTACTCCTTAAAACACCCAACTCACTCACTCACTCACTCACTCACTTATCCTGCATTACTCCCTAAAACACCACATGAGGAATGAGGATGCATTAAGAAGTAATGCAGGATAAGTATACAAATGTAAAAAATATTTAGATTTTTCTATAAACAAAAAAATCTTATCCTGCATTATTCCTTAATACATCCTCATGTGGAGTAATGCAGGATAAGGATTTACAAACGTAAAAAAAATATTTAGATTTTACTAAGAACAAGGATTGGTCAGTTCAGAGTCAGTATACTATGTCTGAGTGGGGTATTCATCTTAAACTGACTTGAGGCAGATTTGTGTGTACCCTGACCCTGTTTCAGACATCCCTACAACATTAGTCACAGGATTCATGTTCGGGGTGGAGCTTCAGGACAGCCTGGTCTCGCCCCACAATGGACACTTCAAGCACTACCCTGTGCTCATGGTGAAGGGGTCAATGTCGCTCTGTAAGGCCCTCACAGACTGGCTGGAGGTGAGTGGTACTGCTAGTGAGGGATATATAACACAACAGGTTATTCTGTTAGGATTGTCAGTTGGCATGATTTAGTAACACTAGAGAGTATGTAAGGATTGACAGTTGGCAAAGACAGCAGAGAGTGTCAGGATTGACAGTTGGCATAGACAGTAGTTTATACAGTTGTGGTCCGTATAAGTCTATTTTTCAAACTTATCCTCTCTCAGAGTGTGCATTTCGCCTTCTTTCTTGATCCTTGAAGGGGGTCGCGATTCGCTGTGCAGAGTTGCGTCCCTTGGACATGCCAAGACCTATGATTGTGGGTTCAAATCCCGGTTCGCCCCAATTATGTTTCTAGATTTGTCAGCACCATACCTATGCTCATCGGTTTCACCGAAGTGGTAAACATCTGAGACCTGCATCACTTCGGGCTTACCTCCCACATTAAGCTGACACGCCGTGATATAACTGGAATACTGTTAAAAGCGGCGTTAAACCAAACTCACTCACTCACTTGATCCTTGAAAAAACAATACACCCCAACACATCCCAGCCGTCTCCATGGCTACCATCCTTAACAATAAGCTGTTCTCTTGCTTTTTGAAACTGAATCATGTTTCAAGGATTGAGAAAGAAGGGGAAATGTGCACTGTGAGACTGGATATGTATTTATAAATATTCAATTTATTGTAACATTTGCAATTTTTATCCTTAACATTTTATCTAATGTCTGTCAAGAAAGCCATTGACATTTGTTGTATCTCCGATTCAGCGTGTCAGTTTTGATTTGAAGAAACTGTTGTGCATGACCTAGATAGATTTCAGCTATGTTTGTCATTGATGAGCTTGTGTCTGTGTTTTAGAGCAAGTTTGACTGTAGAGTGTCTGCTATGACCTTCTCCTCAGTTGACCTCAGCTGGATGGTGGCCATGTGGAGTGGATTATCAAAAGGCAAGACCTCAGATACGACCATCTCTTATCTCTTTACTGGTTGGGGGGCACGGGTGGCCCAGTCGTCTAATGCGCAGTGATTCACTGTGAAGAGTTGCATCCCTTGGGAATGCCAGAAACCTATGATTGTGGGTTCGAATCCTGGTTCACCCTGTTATGTTTCTAGGTTTGTCAGCACCATACCCGTGCTTGTGGGTTTCACCGAAGTGGTAAACGTCTGAGACCTGCATCACATCAGGCTTTCCTCCCACATTAAGCTGACACGCCGTGATATTACTGGAATAATGTTAAAAGCGGCATTAAACCCAACTCACTCACTCTTTACTGGTTGGTTAATGCCGCACTCAGCAATATTTCAGCTATGTGACGGCAGTCTGTGAATCATTGAGTCTGGACCAGACAGTCCAGTGATTGACATCATGAGCATCGATGTTGCAATCTCATTCAAATCAAATCTTAGTTCTTGCTATCTCTAAACAAACATCTGAGGACATCCCATTACGGGTCACATCAGAATGACCTTTTATCTGACCAATCAAAGCGTCGCTTACCAGATCATGGTGACAGTAGGAATGTGTTTTCAAATCATGCAAGTTTGGAAACGCAAACACGGGATATGTACGACTGTGTTTAGCGGCAGCGAGAACTTAGATCTGATTTTACTGAGATTGCAATCTATGCAATTGGGTACAATGATATGTAGAAGACCAATTCTAACCCAGATCTTCACATGGGTTACCCCTGTGTAATGGCATTATGGGGATATTCAGTCACATTAAATTGTTGAACTACAAGAGGTATTTGCACTGATATCTTAGAAATGCACATTTGGATATTTAGACATTCTAGATAAGTCCAGATTCTTTATATGTCAAACCAAGAGGCGTCGTTCAAGTCTTAGAGTGAGTGAGTTGGGTTTAACACCGCTTTTAACAGTAATCCAGTCATATCACGGCATGTCAGCTCAATGTGGGAGGAAAGCCCGAAGTGATGCAGGTCTCAGACGTTTACCACTTCGGTGAAACCCACGAGCACGGGTATGGTGCTGACAAACCTAGAAACATAATCGGGGCGAACCGGGATTCCAACCCACAATCATAGGTTTCTGGCGTGCGCAAGGGACGCAACTCTGCACAGCGAATCGCAGAGCCTTAGACGACTGGGCCACCCATGCCCCTCAAGTCTTGGATATTCAGTCTTTATCTTTACTATAATACATGTAACACTACAAGTCCCATTGTGATATTTTTAGCAGTCTTCATAGAAGAAGTTTGCATTGTCATTCTCTGTTCGAAAGGTCACATACGATCTGAATGTTGAAATTTCAGGTTTGAAGAGCAAGCCAGTTGAACTCCTGTACACAGTGCCAGAAGAGGTTGAAGGACTGAAGAAGATCACGTACAGTATTGATGCTGAGGACTGCCAGAGACTGTGGGACAGGTAGGCGTCACAGGCACTTTTCAACTCCATGTAGTAATGTGCATTTCTTTATTCACATATACATTCTTTAATTCAAAAGACAACTTGCAAAACGGGATGATTTTATAGCAATATACTCCTAAATGGTTTGGAATCATTTTTTCGTCATGTTTCAGTATCCATGACGGCAGCAGTAATGAATTCACCGAAGAGGAAGTCAAGACTTTTATGGACTGTTTACAGTCCCACTTCTATGGTTGTTTTAAAGTTCATCTCTCAGTGAGTACTGCTTGACGGACCCCAACTGTCAGATCCGTGAAGATCCGGGGTAGAATAGATTTTCAGCAACCCATGCTTGCTGTAAAAGGCGACTGACTATGCTTGTTGTAAAAGGCGACTAACGGGATCGGGTGGACAGGCTCACTGACTTGGTTCTATCCCAATTGTGTTGATCGGTGCTCATGATGTTAATCACTGGATTGTCTGGTCCAGACTCGATTATTTACAGACCCCCGTCCTATATCTGGAATATTGTGGCGTTAAACAAGAAACAAACAAACTATATGATCATTTGTGGCAGTACATACAGACTGTATTTCGATATGTATTGCAAACATGATAATAATATATATTTCCTTGAATTGCAGTCAATGTTTCTGACGAGAATTGGGACATCCATTGTGTATGTTGGGAGTGATGGCAAAATAAAAGTAAGTGCTCTGCGAAAGTATGTTTGTCAATGTTTCATTGCCAAAGTGGAGAGTGTGTGATGTGTCTCATGTGACATGAGTTTATTCTGGTAACTGGCTACTGGCAATGAGTAGGGCACAGGCCGAGCTGTGGTTAAGTGCAGCAATTCCATGTACAGTGTTGCATCCCTGCAGCAAATACTATGATTCTGGGTTCAAATCCCAGATTTGCCCCAATTTTGATCCATGGTTTACCAGGACCTGTACCCTGAGGTTTCACATCTAAGACATGTATGACTCATGCCTTTCACTCCACAGTACACTAGGGGCGGTGGGGTAGCCTAGTGGTTAAAGCGTTCGCTCGTCACCTCGAAGACCCGGGTTCGATACCCTACATGGGTACAATGTGTGAAGCCCATTTCTGGTGTCCCCCACCGTGATATTGCAGGAATATTGCTAAAAGCAGCATAAAACCAAACTCACCCACTCACTCCACAGTACACTAACAAACAGTGTTACAACAAACTCACTCATTTTTTTAACATTCACTTTTGCTTTATTTTCAGTTTTTCACTGAAAGTGGCGTGATCCCAGTGCTGAGGTACATTAGTGAACTCTCTGTAGAGAAGTCAAAAATCTTATAACACTAGAACGTGTCGGTTTCACAATAGTGCATCCGTGTCCACCTTCTTTCTTTGAGACCATCAGTGTTATGAAATGATGGATAAAGTAGTTGTGTTTGAAACTATATCATCTAAAAAAGAAACCAGGACAAATATATTTTCATAGGAGAATGTATTTAGCTTGTTGATTAAGGATCACGTTTGACCGTGCTGGCAGAAGGAACAGTAACATTAGACCTTATACATCTTTACTGTTTATATGCTGCTTATGTATATCATTTATAAAAAAAATGAATATTCTTAACCATCATCATCCTGCAACATCCTGTGTATGTATGTACCCATGTTGTAGAACAGCGTAGGCTCATTCACTTCCAGAACAGTTCATTAATCATGGAGGGGGCATGGGTGGCTCCTTCAACCAGGTGCCGCAAGTTGCGTCCCTTGGACACGCCAGAAATCTATGATCATCCGTTCGATTCCTGTTCACAGATTGTTTCTAGGTTTATCAGCACCATACCTGTGGTCACGAGTTTCACCAAAGATGTAAACATGACACCTGCATCACTTTGGGTTTCTTCCCACATTAAGCTGACACGCCGTGATATGACTTGAATACTGTTAAAAGCAGCGTTAAACCCAACTCACTTGCTCAGCCACTGTTTATATACAAGTTACACACCCCAGGAGCACCCATGTTGATCATTATGGCACATTGACTTGAAGAACAGTATATTAACCATTGAGTAAGACTTACAAGACCTGTACAACACACAGACATTTGTCATGTTAAATTTTTGTAGTGAAAAAACTTCTATTGCCAGCACCAAGGCAGTCATCCTCACTGTATATGGGTGTTGTGGATCCCTGTTATGTCCCTAGTAGGCAACTACATTGTGTGGTTAAACCATGTTGATCCTGTGCATGTTTTCATAATATTTATGGTTTTGTATACATGGTTATGTAATATATACAATTTACATGTACAAGTTTGTCGGTATGTTCTCAATATGAAAATTATGATAAAAATTGAATTTGTGGTTATGAATAAATGTGCGTTTTAAAAATTGATCTTGTTGGTTTGGGTTTTCATTTATATCTCACAGACAATGAAAACTGTTGTATCTGACTGGTTCATTTGGTTGTATGTATTCAGCCAGTTCATCAAGCTGAAGGGGCGGTCAGGTAGCCTAGTGGTTAAAAGTGTTCGCTCGCCATGGCAAAGACCAGGGTTCAATTTCCCACATGGGTACAATGTGTGAAGCCCATTTCTAGTGTTCCCCTTCCATGATATTGCTGGAATATTGCTAAAAGCAGCATAAAACCATACTGACTCACTCATCATGCTGAATAACATTGGCATGTAACTTTCGTCAAATGCTGTCTCTCTGACAAGACGACTTTTGTTGATTTACAAATTCCGACTCTATAAAGAAGGAACATGGAAAAAGGTGATCTGAAAAGCTCTGTTTTATTTATTTTGACGAATACAAACAAGAATGTTCATAACATAATTATACATACAATAGTTTCAACAGCAAGACAATAGGTGAAATGACAAGAACAGATTAACTACCCAAACACAGTGTCATTCTGAAGTGTCTTATATGTTCCCACCTTCCGACCAGGGCCTACTTGATCAAAGCAATCTTAGTGTCAGACTATTTTAAGCCTTATGTTCAAGATTGGGAACTAAAATGATATTTATCCAAAGATCACTTGTGAGCCCAGGATTTTTCTAACAAAAGAAAATGTAACTATAAAATGTCAACGCCAAAGAAAAAGCAGTCTTGACAGGGTTGTAAATGGTAAAATAGGGATTTAAGTTTTGTGAATGGATCACTGAAAATCAGGAGTGTCACTAGGTGTTAAAGGTCATCTTCCCGAGGCAGTGGAGTTAACTGACTATAAAAGTCCAGTTTCCACCCTTGCCGGACTAGGCTGGTATTATGGAGTTACATTTTGGCTGGACTAACGCGTCTATGCATAGTCCAAGTAAAACTGTCGTGCACATCTCGGTCAATTGCATGATTTGCAAAGCATGTGCACCGCCAACTCGTCAACAGATATTGTCCAAGTCTTTTCATGTTTTTAATCAAGGTGATCTCGTGATTTGATGCACTTCGCGATGTATCACCCGTTTTATCACAATACAGATTTTGATTATCGATCAGATCCGCTAGACTGGTCGCCGCCATTTTGTTTGAAACAAATGCAAGTGCATTCGTCACCCCTCGTTCCTTTCCGTAACCTGCAAGAAGACTCGTCCCCCTATCGATGAATGTTATTTTCGAAAATACGACAAACTAATCAGATTGCGCGTATGATTTCAAGTTCTTCGTCAAAGAATCCCTCACAAATATTTTTTGTTTTTATATGTCTTGCATCTAAAAGTATACCCAAGACACAGTTAAATGTGTTCAATCATACTGTATAATTCCGCATGTCCAGAAGTGCTTTAAATTGCATCTGAAATACATTTAATATATGGGGAAATATATGTGAACCATTACGCAACGAGTTGACAATTGTTTTAGGCATGCCCGTTTGTGCTAAGACGCAAAAATGGCCATGAGTGGCGCACGAGTCGCTATTCGGCATGTCTCGGAAAAACATGAGTTGCTCACGAATGATGCAAGTGATACGTGAGGTGGAATCTGATTGGTCCATAGGAGAAGCTTAGAAAGGACATAACTCATAATAGCCTCTAGCGGCGCTACGATCGAGCCCAGGAATTCCAGCCTAATTCGGCAAGGGTGGAAACCGTACTTTTAAAGTCAGTTAACTCCCCATCTTCCCGAGGGAAGAGAGTTAACTGACTTTAAAAGTCCAGTTTCCAACCACACCTGTGATTGTGGGTTCGAATCCCGGTTCGCCCCGATTATGCTTCCAGGTTTGTCAACACCATACCCGTGCTCGTGGATTTCACCGAAGTGATAAACGTCTAAGACCTGCATTTCACTTCGGGCTTTCCTCACATTAAGCTAACACACTGGAATACTGTTAAAAGCGGCGTTGAACCCAACTCACTCACTATTAAGAAAGTTACAAGCACATCCGGTTCAACGATCCTGAATTTTCAATCTCAGCAATGAGCTGCCTGAAAATTTCAATTGAAACTAATGAGGTGTCACAAAGCTAAGGTTACTGCAGCACAGTCTGGATTTTTATGTTCGTGAGATTCAATTACCCTACATTTTGACAATACCTTGACACATGGAAAGTTTCGAAAAAGTACCACTAATAGCTGAAAAATGTTTTGTTCTATTAATTAAAATCAAGTATTCTATGTTTTCTCGTGACCTTGACCTTCATCGGAGGTTATCGAGAATCTCAAAATAAGTCCCACCCTTCTGATCTGTTTCGCCAAATCACGACAAAAATGCCCAGTTAACATTGTACACACGAGCCTTTTTAGCACGCTCAGTGACTTTGACCTTCAACGTCATCCAATCACCCGCGACAACATTATTTGTTGCAAATATGAATACTGGCAACACTTTCTGAATTAAACTGTTTACAACAATCAATGGATCCGGGGTAGAGCAGATCTTCAGTAACCCATGCTTGCCGTAAAAGGCGACTAACGGGATCGGGTGGTCAGGTTCGCTGACTTGGTTGATGCATGTCATCGTATTCTCATTTTCAACTGAATACTTCACACAAAAGTAACCACTATGATGGCGACCCGTGAATATCCGGATTAGAATTGGTCTTCAGCCACCCATGCTTGCTGTGAAAGGCGACTATGCTTGTCGTACGAGGCGACTAACGGGATCGGGTGGTCAGGTTCGCTGACTTGGTTGATGCATGTCAGTCACTGGATTGTCTGGTCCAGACTCGATTATTTACAGACCGCCGTCATATAGCTGGAATATTGCTGAGAGCGGCGTTAAACAACAAACAAACATTATGATGGCACATAGTAAACGCGTGTTAAAATCTTAAAAGGCAAGCATTTGTTATTTTCACATGATCAAAGTATATATTTCCATTAAGAATCACCTTATATAAAACTGTGTACGATTTTTGTCATGTACGAGATTACATACTTACTCCCACATTGGTATAGCGTGAAGCCCATTTCTGGTGTACCCCGCTGTGATATTGCGGGAATATTGCTGAAAGCGGTGTAAAACCCAACTCACTCACTCGCATACTAAACTGTGTACGAGTTTACAGAAATATCCGTGTACGAGGTCGTTTTGTGAACGACAACCCCGGGAGACGTATAGAAAATGACTAGTATTCATTCCAGTTTAGTCTATTGCTGGACATATTTAGTCGAGACTGTGTATATAGACTGTATCCCAATTCTTCATTTTGTCTACGTGATGTGCTTAATTATGATACCGGACAAAATTAAGTAACTTTGTGCGATCAACTCTCAACGGTTTCACATTCAAGATGTGACTGTTGAAGTTCTGTAGGTTTTAGGTGCGGTCGGGTATAGTGGTTAAAGCGTTCGCTCGTCACGCCGAAGACCAGGGTTCGATTCCCGACATGGGTACAATGTGTGAAGCCCATTTCTGGTGTCCCCCGCCGTGATATTGCTGGAATATTGCTAAAAGCGGCCTAAAACCATACTCACTCACTCACTCTTTAGGTTTTACGTTCACTGCAGATCAACAACATTCCAGCTATATGACGGCGGTTTGTAAATAATCGAGTCTGGACCAGACACTCCAGTGATTGACATCATGAGCATCGATCCACGCAACTGGGATGAGAAGACATGCATCAGCCAACAACCCATTTTGGAAGGATGTCATTTTACATTTGAATGAAGATATTATTACAACAAACCATTAATTCCTTAACCTTTTATCTATAAACTAAGTTCCATTAAGGATACCGAATACTTTATTGGACGACATGAAAATGGACTTTACTCTATGCAGATTGTATTCATGCAAGATGACAATCTTAAAAAAGTTTGAAATGATAAAATAGAGTATGACTTAAACTGCATAATCCTACTGTACATCAGATATATAAAATATGTACATGTATATTCGTATTTCGGCCATGAGACCAACAGCACAATATCATGTTTACAAGAAGTATTCATAGCACTTGGTATAATTCAATTCACTTATTTCCTCAGGAAGTTACTTTTAATAATTCATATTTATTTAACAAAAATAGCTAAACTTAGATTATTTTAGCATTTATGGTATTCATAATATTTACACATGTCTGAACATAGAAATAGAGTAAATATCTACTTCTTCCTTTAACATATAAAAAAATGCACTCAAACAACACGTGGAATTAAGTTTCTTGTTAATTTAAGCAATGGGCGGTCACATTGCCATGATATTAATATCACCATCTTTTGATATTCTAGTTTGATCTTCTACATGCAAATGTACAGAGTCCCAGTTGAATTTCAACCATTTATTAAACACCATAAAATTTAGACGTCACTTGCATATAGAAATGAAAAATCTATAGGATTAACTAAATTTACGGGTAAAAGAAAGTATACACTTGAAAATTGGATTTGACCAAATTATTACAAACGTTATCAAAACGTTACAATCTGAGAACAGTCGCCGAAACACGGCAAATGTAAGGTCCAAAACACAACTGTGATGTCCGTATGAAACACATCAATCATCTCTTGTTTGTTTCAAATTTAGCCTCCGTCAACATGAGTCTATACTTTCATTATCCCGTCATTCTGATTGGGACATTCCATCATTCTGATTGGAATAATCCGTCATTCTGATTGGGACATTCCGTCATTCTGATTGGAATATTCTGTCATTCTGATTGGGATATTCCGTCATTCTGATTGGGATAATCCGTCATTCTGATTTGGACATTCTGCCCTTCTGATTGGGATATTCCGTCATTCTGATTGGGATAATCCGTCATTCTGATTGGGATATTCCGTCATTCTGATTGGGATAATCCGTCATTCTGATTGGGACATTCCACCATTCTGATTGGGATATTCCGTCATTCTGATTGGGATAAAAGCTCTAAAATCAGCAAATTTTGCTACACCAATGCATTTAGTATGTCCCACACATACAATTGTTGAAATTCTCATTCATATAAATACTTCTGATAACTTAAATGATGATTAGTGCCGATTTTTCTCATTTCTTAATGCATAGCCCATGGGTCACCAATGGCCATTATCCCACACCGTCCTTCGGTTATAAACCTACATGCTTCTATTCCACAGTGATATTCCCTAGGTCTGTCTTGTCTGCCACATGTAGAGTTGTGAAGGGTTCAGTCTGATTGGCACCGGGAGTTTCCAAGGTATTCTGTGGCAGTCCAAGAACAGCGACGCTCTCCGGAAAATGCGAGTATCCCTGCATAGTCCTTACTATGATGCCAAAGGCAAGAATGCCAATAACAGAAAGTACTAATATTAGTCGGGACACAATTATTCTCTTCACGTTGACCCTTGACTCGTTGATACGGGCTGGATTTTCATCCGAGGAGTCTTCATCATCACTGGTACAGTCTTCTTGAATCAATGGAGAGTAGTCTGAAATGCACATAGATTATTAGCCGAGTGTTTCCTAGCAATAATATGATATATCAAGAAGACATATTGTATAATGCGTGTTTTTGTCACGAGCGTATTAAGGATATTTATTTCTCATATATATATATACACTATTCACGATCCGGAATCACACTTTTATCATTCATTTTTATCATATAATCAGTCTTCAGAAAACAGCGATAACCTTACGCGATATATTCATTTACTCAAGTAACTTTGAAAACCATACACCGCCTGAGTTTTGTTTGTTTGTTTGTTCTTTAACGCCGCACTCAGCAATATTCCAGCTATATGACGGCGGTCTGTAAGTAATCGAATCTGGACCAGACAATCCAGTGATTGATATCATGAGCATCGATCCACGCAATTGGGATCGATGACACGCATCAACCAAGTCAGCGTGCCTGACCACCCAATCCCGTTAGTCACCTTTTACGACAAGCATAGTCGCCTTTTACGACAAGCATGGGTTGCTGAAGACCTATTCTACCCCGGATCTTCACGGGTCACAACGCCTGAGTGAACCCCTTAATCATTATGTAGTGCCAAATGATTTATAGCCATGTTTCTTTCCGAAACTCTTGGGAACATGAGGCAATATTTGTCTTCCAGCAAAGGTTTCGAGTCGATATATGGAGCTTATTAAAAGTAGGCCCTGCTTGATCTCTTAATTTATCGGATCTTGATGTCAACTTTATCGGATTGGTTTAGCACATTACCATTATATATATGATAAATCTCTTCACCTGACGTGTCAGTTTGTTCGCCTATCAGTTATCTAGTTATCTTCGAGTGAGTATGGTTTTACGCCGCTTTTAGCAATATTCCAGCAACATCACGGCGGGGGACACCAGAAATGGGCTTCACACATTGTACCGATGTCGGGAATCGAACCCGGGTCTTCGGCGTGACGAGCGAACGCTTTAACCACCAGGCTACCCGACCGCCCGATAGTTATCTTCGAACCCGGAATCCTCACGCAGCCGTGTCACGCTAAATTGCTGACACTGTCGCAACAATGTTTACAGTGCCTTTGCATAAGAACACAGTTTCCATATAGGATATGCGGATATTCGGCAGTATTTATGCGACCCGACACGAATAAATTAATACTTTACCAAATGTATCGGGCGCAAGAATTTAGAATTAAGTACATAAATTAATTAATCACTCGTTCTTCGGATTTATATCGAAATAGCAGGCGTAGCATAACATCAACGTTGTATTGTGTGTTATTCTTTTAGGCAGGAGGCTATTTTTGTCAAACGTTTCGCTAACAACCAATCATGATAGGTAATTACTTTACAAATTAACCAAATGGTTATCAATAAAATACTAGGTAAAAGAAGGAGATTTTTTTTTAAAAGAGGACCTTGCGCCCTTTGTTGTTTAATGCCGCACAAATGGCAACAGTGTGGTTCAATAAGGTCCTCCACCGCTGCTAAGTCATCGTTCGAGTCGAAATGGGCTCTGGCTTGAATTTTCTTCAGGTTTGGGAACAGATGGAAGTCTCTTGGAGCCAGATCAGGAGAATAAGGTTGGTGCTGTAGGAGTTTAAAACCATACTCGTGTAGCCATGCCAATGACTGATTTGTGAACTGACGCGTTGCCCCCATGGAGGAGCCCACCTTTTCTCAGCTTCCCATGTCTCTAAGTCTTAATTTCATCACGTAACTGCCCCCAAAGTGCAACATAATATGCTCCGTCTATTGTCTGGCCTTTTGGAAGACAAGCCACCATGATGACACCCTCGGCATCCCAGAACACGGAAGCCGTATTTCTTCCAGCTGATGAGACAGTCTTTGCCTTGTTTGGTGGTTGTGGTGAAGTCGTCAAATGCGTCCTCTGTTTTGATTGTGGTTTGTGACTGAAAGTTGTGAACCCAGGTTTCATCCAGGTTGTCATAAATCGTTGCAAGAACCTTTATGGACCAGCTTCAAACAGAGCTAGATTATCACGAGACATGTTGTGCCTGAGACGCTTTTGATTACAGTCATGTCAGAAGATTTGGAACCCATCGAACTGATACTTTCTTCTTTGCCAAAGTTTCTGTGTATGGATTGTACTCCCGAGGAATGCCCCCTGAACTAGCAAAATGAAGGTCATCACCATATGGATTCTCTGGATCATTTCTGACGTTGTGGACGTCACAGGCCTTCCAGGACGAAGGTCGACACCAAGGCTCTCATCTCTTAACTACTGGCATAGGAAGGGTCATCCTTCCATGGTGATGTACTCATATATTCATGGATGACTTTTGGTGTTAAGCTCTTTTTGTGCAAGTACTTGATCAATTCACGTTCTTCAAGTTTGTCCATTTTTCAAATGTCACAGACTTGTCACAGCGAAACAATGTGCTCAATGGACACACGTTTTTATGGATATACCTCAATGGTTGGTTGGTTTGTTGTTTAACGCCGCACTCAGCAATATTCCAGCTATATGACGGCGGTCTGTAAATAATCGAGTCTGGACCAGACAATCCAGTGATTAATGTTATGAGCATCGATCCACGCAATTGGGATCGTTGACACGCATCAACCAAGTCAGCGAGCCTGACCACCCGATCCCGTTAGTCGCCTTTTACGACAAGCATAGTCGCCTTTTACGGCAAGCATGGGTTGCTGAAGACCTATTCTACCCGGAATCTCCACGGGTCCAATGACATCATGTAATGTCCACAACAAAAGATTTCACTATTATTCATTCTCAGAACTTGTCAAACTCAAAACACCCATAACGCCAACCCGCCAGAGTGTCTACAGTATATATCATGTTGTTTTGGTTTTCATGATGCCTAACCTAGATTGGTTTGAAAGAGCTAAAGCTACCAACATGACAGTATCACTTAAGTGTGGCTTGGTTCGGTACAGCTGCAAGTAAGGTCTCCAAGTAATCTTACCACCGCCATTCAACTCGGAGCAATTTCTGTTTGCGCCTGTACGTGCCTGGGCCTGAAGGATATAAGCAGCCGTTACCGTTTGTATACAACATGCATATCACTAGATACTACCAGGGGTCATTGTTTGTTTGTTGATTAACGCCGCGCTCGGCAATATATTCCAGCTACATGACGGCGGTCTGTGAATAATAGAGTCTGGACCAGACAATCCAGTGATTGATATCATGAGCATCGATCCATGCAATTAGGATATGATGACATGCATCAACCAAGTCAGCGAGCCTGACCACCCGATCCTGTTACGACAAGCTGGTGCTATCCTGCGTCACACTATCAGCAATTTTATTCAAGGTAAAATATTTTCAGTACAACTGCTCCTGGAAGTTGTTTATGCGATAACACCGACTTATACTACTACTACTACTACTACTACTACTACTACTACTACTACTACTACTACTACTACTACTACCACTACTACGACTACAGATACTACTGCTAAAACTACTAAACAATAATAATAATAATAAGTCAATGGAGTTATTAGGTGATTTTTAAGATGTGCAAAAAATAAAATATCAGCATCATGCAAGTTCTCACCAGGACTACTTCTTCCTTCCAGTCAATCTTGTTGAGTCTGACGAGGAAGCACACGCCTAAGGACGCAGTGGAGACACAATAGGCAATCCAAATACCTGAAATACAGCCAGGACGCTAAGCGAAGGTTGATATATGAGTGAATTAAAAATCAAGGCGATCCGGGATTCGAACCCACAGTCATAGGTCATGCACACAAAGAATGCGCGGAATAGACGAATTTGTTTGTTTGCCCACCTCATAATTCCTTTTCACAAAACCATAAAATAAAGACATTTTGATTAGTCAGTTTGTTGTTTAACGCCGCACACAACAATATTCCAGCTATATGACGGCGGCCTGTACATAATCGAGTCTGGACCTGACAATCCAGTGATTGACATGAAGAGCATCGATCCACGCAATTGGGACACAATGACATGCATCAACATGCAGTGATCGATATTGTGAGCAACGGTCCACGCCGTCGAGGTACGATGATACGCTATCAACCAAGTCACAAAGCCTGACCACCAGATCCAATTGGTCGCCTCTTACGACCAGCACAGGTTGTTGGGAACCCATTCTAACACGAATCCCCACGTGGCTTTTGATAACTTTGCGAGACAATGGCCAATAAGCAATAATCTTACCTGCAATGCCCAGCGATGTTAGAAACATTAAGGGGAGCCCCAGAGGCAGACAGATGGCATAGTATGCCAGGAAGGTGACACAAGCTCCAAACCGTTGGTGCCCAATACCTCTTACAACTCCGCCTAATACAGTCTGGAGGGGAAATATAATCATAAGGACAATATAGGAATAGTGAGTGAGTATGGCATAGTATGCCAGGAAGGTGACACAAGCTCCAAACCGTTGGTGCCCAATACCTCTTACAACTCCGCCTAATACAGTCTGGAGGGGAAATATAATCATAAGGACAATATAGGAATAGTGAGTGAGTATGGCATAGTATGCCAGGAAGGTGACACAAGCTCCAAACCGTTGGTGCCCAATACCTCTTACAACTCCGCCTAATACAGTCTGGAGGGGAAATATAATCATAAGGACAATATAGGAATAGTGAGTGAGTATGGCATAGTATGCCAGGAAGGTGACACAAGCTCCAAACCGTTGGTGCCCAATACCTCTTACAACTCCGCCTAATACAGTCTGGAGGGGAAATATAATCATAAGGACAATATAGGAATAGTGAGTGAGTATGGCATAGTATGCCAGGAAGGTGACACAAGCTCCAAACCGTTGGTGCCCAATACCTCTTACAACTCCGCCTAATACAGTCTGGAGGGGAAATATAATCATAAGGACAATATAGGAATAGTGAGTGAGTATGGCATAGTATGCCAGGAAGGTGACACAAGCTCCAAACCGTTGGTGCCCAATACCTCTTACAACTCCGCCTAATACAGTCTGGAGGGGAAATATAATCATAAGGACAATATAGGAATAGTGAGTGAGTATGGTTTAACGCCGCTTTTAGCAATATACCAGCAATATCACAGCGGGGGACACCAAAAACCCATGTTGGGATTTGAACCCGGGTCTTCAGCGTGACGAGCGAACGCTTTAACCACTAGGCTACCCGACGGCCCCCAATATAGGAATAAGGAAGAGAATATATGGATGTCAACTTCTTTATTGATGATCAGAATATATTCTCCTCCTTGTATTAATTATGTGTATCACTTCTAAATGCCTTTCAAAGACCTAATATAGGAATATCTAATATTACACAAAGGATCGGAATTGTCATAATACTGGAAAAAGTTCAATGTTCCAAATAAATATAAGAAATAATAACATAAAAAAACAAGATATACGAGTATCTATATCCAAATGAAAACAAAAACTCTCGAAAAGCTTACAAAAAGTTTTTTAAAACTGGAAGAAATTAAAGTTTAGATTATCTTGTTTATAAGTTAATGAGAGGCATTATTTATCAATGTTTGATGGTGATTAATGAACACATGCCCATGATATAGCTGGAATCGTACAATCGACTCTGCTTTTGGTAGAGATTTCTTCTGGATATGGAAAGAGCTTTGTCGCTTTAATTTACCATGTCCAATACCGATAAAGCTGAATGCGATTTATTACATTAAGTAATTTTTCATGTACACAATCTATGTTTTAAAATAAGTGGAGCTCGTTCAAGCCAGGGCTTGCATTAACTTTACTCAATGCGAGTTGAAGAATTTTTTGTTTGTTTTTTGTATTTGTTTTTTTAACGCCACACAGCGGTCTGCAAAATAATCGTGTCTAGACCAGACAATCCGCCGACTGAAATCATTAGCATCGATCTATGCAGTTGGGATACAAAGACATACATCAAACAAGTCAGCGAGCCTGGTCACACTATCACGTTATCCGCCTCTTAAAGACATGGAAAGGTACTTTGACCTGGAGAGCCAATATTACTGTTTGGAGAAGAATCAAAGCTTTGTTGCTTAAATTAAATCTACAAGGATGATTCTGAGGTATGATATATGTCGTGGTGACACGTCGTCTCATAGATACTACTAAAGTAGTCCTACTAAAGACCAATACTAACTCGGAGCTTCATGGGCGGAAGAAGAATTAAGTAAAACCTACATTTGATCACGGTGTTCATAAGTGTCCTGTTCCGTATTTATCGCAACCTTATGTACAGCCTCTTTCAATCAGTAACTGACAAATAGTTTGAGCGGTTAAAAACAAGCGACGAAAGCCTTTTCCTTGTCGTCAGAAATATCTGTCCAAGGCAGAGTATCTAGAGCATGAGTTTATGAATCCATGGTGATGATACCAGGTTTTAGCGAAAAGGTTAGCGTATCCTGCCCCACCAGAGCACATGTAACAAACACATGTAAAGGCAAGTCAATTGTTTATCTGAAAGACACAGGAACATATGGCACATGTCCTCCACATGTCTACCTTAACACTTTTTAAAATCTTTACTGAGGCTTTAATGTTGTAACCTTGATCAAACAACTTTTGAACCAAGAGTCATATGACGCTCTTTGGAATGTTGGTAGAAAGAGCATGCTTGATTGTACCTCAACAGTTTTGAAATGTTGACACCAAAGGATGGAACTGCAGATGTATTGCTCGACACGAAGGGAAAGTTGACCATTGAAAAGCTGAAGTCATCTCTCTTGCTAGACAGTCTTGTAAATATCTTTAAAGGTTTAAGAGGTTAAGAAAAAATAGCATATATAATCAAATTCTGGTTCTAACATGCGATATCGCTTGTGTGAGAGGCCCCTGAAAATCCGGGGTAGAATAGGTCTTCAGCAACCCATGCTGGCCGTAAAAGGCCACTATACTTGTCGTAAAAGGCTACTAATGGGATCGGGTGGTCAGGCTCGCTGACTTAATTGATGCATGTCATTGTGTCCCAATTGCGTGGATCGATGCTCATGATGTCAATCACTGGATTGTCAGGCCCAGACTCGATTATTTACAGACCGGCGTCATATAGCTGGAATATTGTTGAGTGCGGCGTTACACATCAAACAGACAAGCTTTGTGAGATCAAACTATACACCCCATACTGCACTACTCGTCACCTATTTATCGACTGGCATAAGCGTTAGCTTGAGGTTTACATGATCAAATCCAACACAAGTGATTCTATTTCTGACTACCCTTTGCCTCAAAACATATTGTCTTTCACTTCATTCCTTCTCTGGTCATTAACACTGGATTGTCTGGTCCAGACACGATGGTTTATTTTTTCAGCTGCTACAGCCTTTGTTGTCTACATTTCACTTTTGAGGTACACTCGAATATGCTCTTTCAATGAAGATTTCAAAGAGCGTCTCTTGACTGTTGCTCAACATTTGTCATCATACCTCCATGTCAGAATGAGATTAGATGTGATTGTACCACGTGAACTTGATAAAATACTATGTAACCCGCCAATGGGCAAGGCTGCACGTGAATTTCTGAGAGGCAGAATAAATTACGTGGAATAAAACCTAACGCGGGACCAGGGTTGCAACATTCAAGCCCTCAGAAAATATTCCATAAAGTTTTATGTTAGACGTGTGGAGGACATCTCCAAATTTGATGTATCAGTGACAAAAATTATGTTGTCCGTATTTTCACTTGTACAACGCGTTCCAGTGTTTTTTCAAGTGAACAATTGACTTGCCTTTGCAAGTGTTTGTGACTGATGTCACCTATCGGGCAGGATACGCTCACCTATTCGCGAACACCTGGTGCCATCACCTTTTGCTAGTGATTCATAAACACATGACATAGTCGGAATCATACAATCGACTGTGCTTTCAACAGAGATTTCTTATCATTAAAGAAAGCGTTTTGTAGCTTTTGGTTTCTCAGTTGTAGACGTGTATACAGATACTGTGTTATCCAAATGTAAGAATAAAAAACGTCATTAGTTTGATCCCAAAATACTTACAACTACATTTTTTATGCATAGGTAGATGGTCAGGATGGGCAGAACTTGCGTCACGAGATCAGCAACTTCACTGTAATGATAGTTATGACCTGATCGTGAGTAAGTGTGTCTATATTTACTTACACCGCTTTTAGATATATCACGAAGAGGACATGGTACGCTTGTGGGGGGTCGAACCCAGACCTTTGGCGTCAAGCGCCAAAACTGTAACCAATAGGCAACCCACCACTCCTGCAATCAAGAAGCCTTGTAACCATGTACATTAAGCATATACCTCCTTTGGTTAACGTAAATCTTGACTGAGTGAGCATGAGTTTTCGACGCTTGTAACTAGCTTCAAACATGGGGGCATTGAACCCGGGAGCTCGCTGTGACAAGCGAACGCTTAAACCACTATGCTACCCCCGACTTAATCATGAAGACATCATAGTTACACACGTAAGCGAATATTCAGTTAGTGAAATTAACATGTCGTTATGCTTTCCTGTTTACGTTTCTGAAACTCTTGACCCCTGAAGATCCGGGGTAGAATAGATCTTCAGCAACTCATGCTTGCCGTAAAAAGCGACTATGCCTGTCGTAAAAAGCGACTAATGGGATCGGGTGGTCAGGTTCGCTGACTTAGTTGATGCATGTCATTGTGTCCCAATTGCGTGGATCGATGCTCATGAGGTCAATCACTGGATTGTCTGGTCCAGACTCGATTATTTACAGATCGCCGTCATATAGCCGGAATATTGCTGAGTGTGGCGTTAAATAACAAAGAAACTACACCGCGAAAGAGGTATGACTATGAGATAGAGGAGTGAGAGGTTTAACGCCACTTTGAACAGGATTTTTGTTCATATCATGATGTCGGGTTGATGCAGGTCTTAAACCGTTACTACCCAGCACGGGAATGATGCTTACAAACATAGAAACATAATTCTGTAGAGGTATTAAGGCTACAAACATATGAATAACAAGTGGGGCCTTGGGCTATTGTACAATACTTACCTATCTTCTGTAAATGCATGAGCTATCACACTTCTAAATATTGTAAGTACCGAACCCGGCAATGCAGATGTGATTCCTGAAACAGAAACGATGATAAAACGTTGTTGTACCCAAAAGAATTCCACAAAATCTAAGACAGGTTCCTGGGATTCGAAGCCACGGATTGATATGGCCAGTAAAGGTTGTCACTAAGCTTTGTGGGTGTCCTATGAATGTGGCTAAAAGACATCAACGACTGACCACTTGGGAATACCCGTGGTCTGACTGATGAATCTCAACATACTCTTATCAATGCTTCTCTAACGCTTCACTAACACTTCTCCAACGCTTCTCTAATGCTTCTCTAGCACTTCGCTAACGCTTCACTAACACTTTTCTAACACTTAGCTGACGCTTCTCTAACGCTTCTCTAGCGCTTCTCTAGCACTTTTCTAGCACTTTTCTAACGCTTCTCTAGCACTTTTCTAACACTTAGCTGACACTTCTCTACCGCTTCTCTAACACTTCTCTAACACTTTTCTAGCACTTTGCTAACGCTTCTCTAGCACTTTGCTAACGCTTCTCTAAAGCTTCTCTAACACTTCTCTAGCGCTTCTCTAGCGCTTCTCTGGCCCTTCTCTAACGCTTCTCCAGCACTTCTCTAGCGCTTTTCTGTCGCTTCTCTAACGCTTCTCTGACACTCATCTGAAGCTTCTGGTGCCTCTTAATGCTTGCTTACGACACTGTCCAGTTATGAAAGAAACTTCAAAGAAGCCCAGTATATTCATCTTAGTAACATTTGTCACTAAAGAGGGTCGCCTAGTTCTGCATTTTAAGAAAAACCTTAAAAAGTATGTTTAAACGTATTATTTTTTTCAATTTCACCGACACTAGGTTTTTAAACCAATTAGACCGCCTCCGTGGTCTAGTGGTAGAGCGTCGGCTCGGAGTCAGTATACTGTGTCTGAGTGGAGTATTCATGTTAAACTGCGGCATGGTATCTCAGTGAGCTAGCACTATAAATCGGCATCAGTCCGGACCAGTACAAGCATCCAAAGAAACACACACACGTACATATATAAGTGCAATAATCTTGGACGCGACGTTAAACCCCATTTCACCTCACCTTTAAACCAATTACGTAGACCTAGCGGCAGGAGGGGCAGGACATGCTTACCCTTCTCACGATTACTTGGTGTCATCACTGATTTTCAGTGATCTATTCATATAATTTTCACCGCCTTTACGCTGCTACGGAATCTGTTTCGTCGGATAATGGTGACTGTTTATTCTCTGGCGTTGACGTTTCATGTTTAGTTAGTGTGATAATTCGACAATTTTACCACTTGAAATAGTACCGACCACATCAGAGTTTGTTTCTAATTACCAAAGTGCATGCAATTCACTATTGGAATAACACCTGATCTCACCTGACAGCACTATTGCAGCGGAGTAGGCTGTCTGACAAGCCACGTGGTCACCACTTCCAAGTAGATTGCCTATACGCATGCCAGCGGCCGTGGACATCCCATAGGACACCTACAATGAGGAATACTTTTCAGATTGTCCTTTTTATTCAGTATTCCCGATGTATCTAAAGAAATATGGCTGCAAACCATGCATTCGTACAGTTTCTAAAGTTATTTTAGTGTGTTAAAATCTATAATAAGAAAAACGTTAAAAGACCATAAAGAGATTATTATAGGAATAAAAATATGGGTTTTTTTAATATATGATATTTATGATACGGAATCATATGAGGGTAATACGTTTACTTCGGGTCTACGACTTCATAAATAAATAATTCTTGATTTAACTTTGTTTATCTAAACCCCATCTTATAAGCGAACTATACTCTTATTCAAATTAGCAATACCTTGGTATCTAAACAACTAATAGACACGTTGTACACACATTTGACATGATGATGATGGGACATTGAAACATGTCAGTGAGGTTAAGCTATAATATGGCGGCCTGTAAATAATCGCGTCCAAACCAGGCACATCAGTGACCGATGTAATGAGGACCCATTCACCAATTTTAATGTTCTGCTGAGAGTAAGTGAGTGAGTTGGGTTTAACGCCGCTTTTAACAGTATTCCAGTCATATCACGGCGTGTCAGCTTAATGTGGGAGGTGAGCCCGAAGTGATGCAGGTCTCAGACGTTTACCACTTCGGTGAAACCCACGAGCACGGGTATGGTGCTAACAAACCTAGAAACATAATCGGGGCGAACCGGGATTCGAACCCACAATCATAGGTTTCTGGCGTGTCCAAGGGACGCAACTCTGCACAGCGAATCGCGGCGCCTTAGACGACTTGGCCACCCGTGCCCCCTTCTGCTGGGAGATCAGTGGCTGTAAGTAGTATGAACCTACCATGTCGGACGTGGTGACAATTTGAAAGAGGACGGCCTGAGCTGCTAACTGTACCTTACCAAGATAACCTGGAAATGAAAGGACAAGTCTGTATACAAGACATTCATTGAAACACAACCATGTATCTAACACTGTCTGCTGCACCAGCAATACATGCACATTGACACACCACCAAGGTACAGTACCTACTAGTTATATATACGCCTAAACACAAAACCAGGGTACCGTACCTTCCAGTACTACATATATACTACATAGACACTTCCAAGGTACAGTACCTAACAATTACACATACACCTCGGCACACCACCAAGGTACAGTACCTAACAATTACACATACACCTCGGCACACCACCAAGGTACAGTACCTAACAATTACACATACACCTCGGCACACCACCAAGGTACAGTACCTAACAATTACACATACACCTCGGCACACCACCAAGGTACAGTACCTAACAATTACACATACACCTCGGCACACCACCAAGGTACAGTACCTAACAATTACACATACACCTCGGCACACCACCAAGACTCAGTACGTGCCAGTTATACATACACCTCGGCACACCACAAGGTTGTTGGTTGGTTGGTTTGTTGTTAACGCCGCACTCAGCAATATCCCAGCTATATGACGGCGGTCTGTAAATAATCGAGTCTGGACCAGACAATCCAGTGACTGATATCATGAGCATCGATCCACGCAATTGAGATACGATGACATGCATCAACCAAGTCAGCGAATCTGACCACCCGATCCCGTTAGTCGCCTCTTACGACAAACATAGTCGCCTTTTACGACAAGCATGGGTTGCTGAAGACCTATTCTACCCCGGATCTTGTCGGGTCCACACCACAAGGCACAGTACCTGCCATTAATACATACACCTCGACACACCAACAAGGTACAGTACCTTACAATTATACACACCCCTCGGCACACCACCAAGGTACAGTACCTAACAATTATACACACCCCTCGACACACCACCAAGGCTCAGTACCTGCCAGTTATACATACACCTCGACAGACCGCCTTACATTGGATACACAACCAAAGTACAGCACCACCCAGTACAATATAAACCTCGCCACAGCACATACCCGTCACAACAACGTACACATTCGCCACACCACATACTCGTCCCAACAACGTACACCTCGCCACACCACATACCCGTCCCAACAACGTACACCTCGCCACACCACATACCCGTCACAACAACGTACACCTCGCCACACCACATACCCGTCACAACAACGTACACCTCGCCACACCACATACCCGTCACAACAACGTACACCTCGTCACAGCACATACCCGTCACAACAACGAACACCTCGCCACACCACATACCCGTCACAACAACGTACACCTCGCCACACTACATAACCGTCACAACAACGTACACCTCGCCACACCACATACCCGTCAGTGCAACAATGAACTGGATACACCACCAAGACAGAGCGACCATCATGAAACCAGGAACCGCCAAACCGATGAAACGCCCCCATTCCAGCCAACACTTGGGCGACCAGCCTGAAGAATAATCATGTCCTAGGTACTATCTTAGACGTTCTTGCACAAAATGAACATTGGCTTGGATTTTATAGAAAAAATATGTTGTCCCAGAAAAAGCTTTAAAAAGATAATTACTAGTATTGTTGAAAAGAGAAAGAAATTATCAGCCACGAAAATACATTGTTGCAAGATGTTTTTTCATATAAAAAATATTTAGGCTCACAGCTTTAATTAAACAAATATCTAGTTTTGCAGGTGTAGCTGAAAAATGTCTAGTCACAATCTAAAATCCCTGCTTCCATCCCCTCCCCTAGATATCCAATGGTCCGCCCCTAAAGGCACTTTTATATAACTCGTTAAAATGACGATGTAGTTCACGAATAAATCTAATATTTGCGTTATATCATAACATAGACACCATCTATAACACATGCTTATGCTACAGTCGGAATCGTACAAAGGTCTCTTATATCATTTATATTTACATGGGGGCGATCGGGTAGCCTGGTGGTTAAAGCGTTCGCTCGTCACGCCGAAGACCCGGGTTTCGATTTCCGACATGGGTACAATGTGTAAGGCTCATTTCTGGTGTCCTCCGTCGTGATATTGCTGGAATATTGCTAAAAGCGGCGTAAAACCATGCTCACTCACTATATTTATATGGAATGAGTGAGTGAGTTGGGGTTAACGCCGCTTTTAACAGTATTCCAGTCACATCACGGTGTGTCAGCTTAATGTGGGAGGAAAGACCCAAGTGATGCAGGTCTTAGACGTTTACCACTTCGCCATAAGATGACACTTGTTACCCTGCCTGATACTCGGCATTCAAGGAGAAAAAACAAGGTCGGTTCATGGTCGGCTCGGCATTAGTATAATGCGTAGGATATCCATGTTAAACTGTTTCTCAGTGGTCTAACAATCTAAAACCGGCATAAAGCGGGACAAGTACAAGCAGCCATAGATCAAAGATCAGATGCAGCAGGGTGACAAGTCTGCTATTGAGTATTTAGATGCTTGTGGACACTTGCTTCGTCTGGGATAAATGAACTGTAAAAGTTATTAAATGTAAAGTGTACATTACCAAAAACTGTCACAAAGTGTTGTTACAAACTGTATAAAATTTATCAAATGTAAAGTGTCATTAAATGTCAAGTATAATATTAAAGTATCTATTTAAAGCTGCTTTGCTTTGTTTGTCAGATCTTATCTGGACTATTCCATTTTAAAGTCTGAAGTAAGAAGCATAAGGATTAGTGTGCACTCAACCGTTTAAAGTGTTGTTATAAGCTGTCTAACTATTAGGACGTCTAACTAATGGGAGGACATCATTTAAATTCCTAATAAATAGTGCTGCGCATTGACAAATTGATACCTGCCCAAGTAGAGTTGTGGGTGTTCAATCCATGAATATACAAAGCGTGCATGATGAGGCCTGATCCGTACGCCAGACATATCGCCAGGGCAGCACCGCTACAATAAACGAATGACCTACAATCAATGGACCAGCACTACACAAGTGACTCACTGATGGTTTTTGTCACATACATTAATCTTAGCTAAACCATTTGGAGATCGTTTCCAAATGGGATGCATCCGTGACAAATCTTCTGTCCATTGGAATTCCCAATTTTGACTTGTACCATGTATTCTCGTGTTTGTTGAGGTGGTTATTTCACATGCCTTTGCACGTGTTTGTGACATTATGCAGGATGTGCTGACCGTTTCGCGAACACTCGTATCATCATTATTTGATAGTGACTCATAAACACACGCTCATGATATAGTCGGAATCGTACAATGATAGTGCAAAAGGTTTTGCCGCTCATAATTAAAACCATCTATGAGAGTGTTCAACGCAAGTTCTCGAGTAGAAGAAAAAGCCGGACTGCAATGAAGCATTTACCTCAATCTTTGCGATCAATTTGAAATCACGTAGATTTTATAATGAAATTGTAGAAGCACATGTACCATCCCTTCAAGCCTGCACCAATCACTCTGATTTGATACACAGTGATACTTAGTTGATATGTCGTAGCGATATATACTCACCGCGAAGACACGCGAATACCCTACATGTTGGTTAACATATGAAGACTTACTCATATTCAAGAGATATAAGGTTGGTCCGATGCACAAACGAACTTACTGTTGTGTGAACCGATGCTCATGAACGCATCACATGAGACGTCATTGATCCATTTGTCTCGTGCAAGATTAGCGTGTACAGTTTGGAAATCACGCGCAGCATATCGTGGTGTGTGTGTGTGTGTGTGGCGTGCGTGCGTGCGTACGTGCGTGCGTGCGTGCCTGCGTGCGTGCCTGCGTGTGTGTGTGTGTGTGTGTGTGTGTGTGTGTGTGTGTGTGTGTGTGTGTGTGTGTGTGTGTGTGTGTGAGAGTGTGTGGGGGGGGGATGGGGGTGGGTGGGTGGGGGGTGGGGGGGGGGTGATTCGTCAGAAAATATATATACAGGATAGGAGTTTGAAAATGCTTATTCATATGGAAATACATAACGCTGCTTAATTATGTCCAGGTGCGTATTTACATATACATACTGTATCATGGAACAACAGACATATCCGTTTATATCCAACCTCGTGAATTTAAAGTCTTTTAAGACTTTTAGAAATTAAACGAGTCATCCGTAGTTCGAGACAAACGGAGTGCTGATAAACTCCCAGGCAAAAGAAAGTATGCTCTTGGAAATTGGATTTGACTAAAACATTACAAATGTAATGTTGCCGGAAAACTGCAAATTGGCTAGGATGCCCTTTGTCGGTACCATAAGTTGACCTCGTCTGATATATCGAGTTAAAAGAGTTCACTATACAAACTAACTGTATTCATTTGTAAATAATTAAATTTCTGTTTTGTTCATTGTAATTCCTGCATGCATTCTGATTAGCTGAACTGGTCACGTGTTATTGCATTCATTTCCCAATGAATGTAAACAATTAAGCCACGCCCACTGAAGCGGACTACTTTTATTGCAACGGAATGAAGGGGAATCCCAATATTACAGTCAGGGGAATTCCCTTTCTGCTCACGTCATGCACAGGACATTTAGCGAAATTCATGCATATTCATTGTCCAAATTAAGCTTTGAGACCGAACGTCGAGAAGGACGCGAATCGCTCTCCCGTTTTTTGTCCGCTCCCCTGGTGCTACGCGGATTCATACAGTTTGCTCATCGGTTTTTCGAATCATACCTCAATGAACCGACAGAAATCCCCAGTCAATCCTTCACTAATGTACTAGTGAAGTGTTGAACTTACACCATGTCCAGACCCGCCCAGGGTAGGAACACATACAGGCAGAATAGGTTGAACAGGTTACTAAGCGTAAGGATCAAAAGCGTGGGCAGCACGATACCCTGGAGGAAAGGAAATAAATAATTATAAATTATTATTAATAAAAAATAAATGATACATAATAATAACATATAACAATGAAAATTAAAACAAATATAAATACGTATAATTAAAACACTAATTACTAATCTCAATACTGTCAATGGTGTACTTCACTGACATTCAATGTGCAACAACTATCGAAACAGGAAGATGGAACACATACCACATTCAATCAAATCTGGAAGCTTTTTGAAAACACGATTTTCGAGATGAAGTCCACTAGCTTTTCATGTGTCCAGTATTTAAAACGGAAATGCAACTATGCTGAAAATGTGTAAGCTGTTCAGAACAAATATTATCTGAACGCTGTCAAAAAACATTGAGCAAATGTTAACCACCCCAAAGCGTTTTACTATTTATATCTGCATCCTCATCAAAACCTTAGGTAATATATCACACGCATCTATGTATGAATGAATACTCTACATGCGTTTATGACATCCGTGTACCTGTTATACTGCTGATAGCGGTCAGAGTGTAATGAACTTTTGATTTGTTTTGGGAAGCTTTGCTCATACAGAAACCAGTAACCGTTGTGATTACCCATTCGACATACACTTGACAGAAACAGGCAGGTAAAGATGAGGTGAAATTGGTTTAAGGTCGCGTCCAAGATTATTGCACTTATATAACAACATGCATGCACGTGTGTGTGTGTGGCTGCTTGTACTAGTCCGGACTGATGCCGACTTATAGTGCTAGCTCACCTAGATACTATGCCGCAGTTTAACATTAATACCCCACTCAGACACAGTATACTGACTCAGAGCCGACCTGTCCTTGTTTTAGCTCCTTTATGCCGAGCGCCAGACAGGGTAACAACAAGTACTATCTCCGTGGCCGGGAATCGAACCCATGACATTCCGCTCTCTGGGCTGACGCTCTACCACAAGACCACGGAGGCGGTCGCAGGTAAATGTATTCGATTCACAGGTGTATCATTCTAAGTTGGTATAACTGTTATGTCAAATTACCTTTGAAGCATTAACATATTTGAAGCAGGTCAAAAGACCCTAGATAAAAAAAATTAAGAAACATTACCTGGGCGCAAAGGTATTTGCACATCACCATCATCGCCGCCAGTGCCTAAATTATTACAAGGAATATCTTGACAATTATTGTCTGAATCAACATAAGATATAATTCAATTTCCTTATCTTGACAACGATTGTCTGCATCAATAGTATATATTATTCAGTTGCCTTATCTTAACAACGATTGCCTGCATCAATAGAATATATCATTCAGTGGCCTTATCTTGACAACGATTGTCTGCATCAATAGAATATATCATTCAGTGGCCTTATCTTGACAACGATTGTCTGCATCAAAAGAATATATCATTCAGTGGCCTTATCTTGACAACGATTGTCTGCATCAATAGTATATATCATTCAGTGGCCTTATCTTAACAACGATTGTCTGCATCAATAGTATATATCATTCAGTGGCCTTATCTTGACAACGATTGTCTGCATCAATAGAATATATCATTCAGTGGCCTTATCTTGACAACGATTGTCTGCATCAATAGAATATATCATTCAGTGGCCTTATCTTGGCAACGATTGTCTGCATCAATAGAATATATCATTCATTGCCCTCTATATTTCACATCACCCGGTTAAGAATATTTACATTTTACAATTATATTGGCGAGGCAGTTATTCACAGCAATAGATATTTTATTTATTGAGTAATCAGAGGTAAAGTGAAACTGACCGGTAATCCTGGTATGCAGGTTGTAACATAATTCCCCGTTAATCTGAAATATAGCAATATGAAAATAGATTATCTTGTCTCGAAGTTGACGATATATGTGAGATCCAGAGTACGAGATAGAGTCAGTAAAGTGAGTGAGTGAGCATGGTTTTACGCCGCTTTTAGCAATATTCCAGCAATATCACGACGGGGGACACATATTGCACCCATGTCGGGAATCGAACCAGGGTATTTGGGGCGACAAGCGAACGCTTTAAACACTAGGCTACCCGACCGCCCCGAGTCAGTAAAGTAATATACAGGTACCAGTAGACAGAATGCTAAAGGCGAACATCTGGTGCCATCACTGATTTTCAATTATCCTTTCTTATTATTTTCAATTTACACCCAATGGAATCTGATATTGGAAATTGGTTATTCTCTGGCGTTGTATACTATAAAGACAACTGAAGCAGACTTCATGTACAGTGAACTGTACCATCATATCCCATGAATATTCCGAGATGCAGTGAGCTGGTAATATGGTCATTTACCTGTCGGTTCGCGAAAACCTGGTATCATCCCTTTTGATAGTGATTCATAAACACATGCCGCCATTCTTCAACAAACATTAATCACCTGGGCATCACCCGTACCAGTTGTCCATGTGTGACATTGGCTTGTGTATGGCTAACAGATAAGGGATTAAAGTCATAAATGGAGGATGTTATATGAGTGGTTCATGTCATTCTATGTTTACGACACGAGTGTCTAAATTCCGGTATCATAGGGAAGGAAATAATTACCGGAATTTAGGCACGTGTTGTAAGCATAGTATGACATGAACACGAACATAATGTTCTATTTATTTCCGAAGAAGATGTCTACATACAGAGACGAATTTTAGTGTTTACCTATGAGGACAGCAAGTCGCAACAGCAGCGGAATCACAATTTGTCAAATGACGGCAACACTCTTCAATTATGACGTCGTATCTAGTGTGACGTCTTTACGAACTCACGTCACGGTGAGACTCGAATGACGTTATCAATGCCGGGTTTCCATGTATATATATTAAATTTTTTAAATTTGAAATTTACACGATATACGGCTTTTCCATTGGACGAGAGGTCGGGCACATGGCCGCGAAATTGACGTTCATACATGTAACCGCCACAGGTTCATTAACAACTTCGGAAATCTCTCCCGTCACGTTTATTGTGTCGGCCATTTTGACGTCTTGTACTTGATGTAAATGTATTACGACGCGCTGTCATTGTGACTGACTTATTGAGGTAGTTCTTTTAAGACCTCTCTCATCTAATGGTAATATTATCTGAACACATGTGTTATGTAAGATGTTACTGAAGAGCAAGTTATGTATCCATACGCTCATGTCACCTCTCTTTTTGAGGAACTATTTTATTCCGCGATATAGCTGGTTGTTGTATGGCTGTCAGTGTAAACATTAAGTCACACGTACCAAATAAGATTGTGCTTAGATCTTGGCCTACGTCCTTTGAGGTAAGAAATTGCGATAAAAAATTCTAAGAATTGACTTTCACCTTGTGTGAGTTCATTGGAGTATGAACCTTCATAAAGTGAGAGCCAAACATTGTATGAACGTCGTCGCAAGCTCCGACGTTGATACAGTTTGGCCCTCACTCACACAAAGTGAAGGTCGATTCTTAAATATATACATATATATATATGTATATGACGTCGTATAAAAACGTATCAATTCCAACCATTAGTTACTGATGACAAATTAATTTATTATATTGTGCCACTGTTATTCTAGGTGTGAATAAACATTGCCATAAACAACATGAACGACGTAGGGTTAATATGATTAACTATGTGACTGCACCTGCTACCACATAAAAGAAATAACTAATTTGTTCGTCAATTAGAACCGATGCATTATAATGCTGTATTATAGATTTCATAGACTGGAAAGCCGGCAGTCAGTTGCTGGTATCCATGCCCTGGGCAATAACAGATAATACCCTCGACTTTCTAACTTCACTAAATATTATAAACATCCTTTTGATATGTATCTTATGTTGAGTCTTGACTGGTGAAAATGGTATTCAATCTTACATGTCACTGACTTCAGTTATCTGCATGCTGCATGTGGTCTTTCTCTCGCCCGCTGTCACCGAATTCGTTTTATACCGGGACTGCAGTCGTTTGTTTGTCACTACAGGGTATCCCGATGTTGTTTTATTCTTTCTCGTATTTCTTGAATTCAGACGGTTTATAGGTTAGTCTAACACTACTCCTTGGCTTGGGTAAAAAAAGTCCAAACCTCGAGCTCGGGATAGAGGCTTTTCCCGAGCCGTGTTCTAACTATAACATCAAAACATTGTTAGAATAGATATAATATCAGAAACTAATTATCACCTGGATAAGGTTGGGTCCTGTCCAAAAGCCAACAGTATGCGTTCGACGTTCATGAAGAGGGCAACACAGGGAAAACATGCCAATATGTTGATCAACAGGGCTAAAATGAAACCATGAATCAGTTTGAATTTCCCTTTTCATTGAAAAGATAGATGAGGCTAACTTGGATATGTTACTGTCCATACCATTTACATTAAAAGGGCGTTATAGTAAGTATTATTTCCCTGGCTCCGGTTTAATGCGTCATCTGGTGTGTGATATCTAACAGTACTGGTATTAACCGTATTAACATGTAAGTATTATTTCCCTGGCTCCGGTTTAATGCGTCATCTGGTGTGTGATATCTAACAGTACTGGTATTAACCGTATTAACATGTAAGTATTATTTCCCTGGCTCCGGTTTAATGCGTCATCTGGTGTGTGATATCTAACAGTACTGGTATTAACCGTATTAACATGTAAGTATTATTTCCCTGGCTCCGGTTTAATGCGTCATCTGGTGTGTAATATCTAACAGTACTGGTATTACCCGTATTAACATGTACGTTTTATTTACAGATTCGCTGTCATATTCAGTGTATTAAAAATATTGTGTTATCAATAGATTTTCCTACCTCTTTGAAGCAAAATACCAAGGTTCTTTTTGTTGGTACTACCATATGTCTGAAACCGAACATGTAACATGCTACAATATGCAATTTACACATGCTTAGTTTTATTTTTTATTTATCCCACGCCCACTCCGACTCCTACTCCAACTCCCTCTCCCTCTCCCTCTCCCTATGCCGCCCCCACTCCCTCTTCAACTCCCGCTCCCTATCCCCCCCCCCACTCCCTCTCCCGCTCCCTCTCCCACTCCCTCTCCCACTCCCTATCCCGCCCCCCACTCCCTCTCCAACTCCCGCTCCCTATCCCCCCCCCCCCCACTCCCTCTCCCGCTCCCTCTCCCACTCCCTCTCCCTCTCCCTATGCCGCCCCCCACTCCCTCTCCAACTCCCGCTCCCTATCCCCCCCCCCCCCTCCCTCTCCCGCTCCCTCTCCCACTCCCTCTCCCTCTCCCTATGCCGCCCCCCACTCCCTCTCCCACTCCCTCTCCCTCTCCCTATGCCGCCCCCCACTCCCTCTCCAACTCCCGCTCCCTATCCCCCCCCCACTCCCTCTCCCGCTCCCTCTCCCACTCCCTATCCCACCCCCCACTCCCTCTCGCACTCCCACTCCCGAGTATTAAACGTGGGTCCCTAAGTAATTAATTCGGACATTTGTCACCCTTTACTACGTTTCTATATAACCTGAACCGCAAAAGAAACGTCACCATGGATAGATATGTGAGAAACCTTATTTGTCCAAAAACTGTAAACATACTTTGAGAGATATTAAAGAGATGAAACTTGGCAAAACTGATCATCAAGGTTGAAATTAAAGTGTCAAATGTTCTTAAAGTGAAACACAACACTAGTCTATGAGAAAATGGTATCACAAGCCAGTATCTCGTGTGTCCGCCATGTGCATTGATGACTGCCGTGCAACGTCGATACATGGAATGGATGAGGCGGGTGATGAAGGCCAGAGGCTCTTGAGCCCACACTCTGAGGAACGCCTGACGCAGTTCACCTGCAGTTGTCGGCCTTGGTCGGACGTCATTCAGCCGTCTTTGAATCTCGTCCCACAGGTGCTCAATGGGATTTAAATCGGGACTGAGGGCAGGCCACTGCATGGTTCTGATGCCATTCTGCTGGAGGAGGTCTCCTGATGCTCCCGCAGTGTCTGTAACGCCATAGGCGCATAGCCCCTCCCTGGTGTTGCCTAGCTCATCCATATCTTTGCCCGCCTTGCTTTCAGGCTGGATTCATAGAGCCGGTTTTAACGGTATATGTTGAAATTTGCCTTCCTGTTATTGTACGGAATTCTCTATTGATAACAGGAACAGATTTGAATCTACTGGACAGTGCAATTCATGTAATGAGACGAGCTTGTCTAGGTGTTGTTTTCTTAGGACTGCAACACCCAGGTCTCATCATTGCAACCCCCACCCGTTCGACGGTACTTGTCCCACAGTCGAACACTTGCAACTTGTGATACTGATGCAGTTGCATTAGTGATTGTGAGTAAAAGACGCGCACACTTTGGCTTCTGTGTGCACACTGTGTGAAATAGGCCATTGTGATTGGATGTTGCGTTCCGACGTAAATGCCAGCTCAACGATACATTGCAAACAGGAACTATAGTATTGTTCATGAAACTGGAAACGAAACAAACAACGAATCGATAACTCATCACACAATTTTTAACTCTTCTACTGATTAATATAAAGCATTCATTCAGACATGTAATGTGATGTGTTTAGGCTCTAATATTATTTTAATATATTACTATATTTAACTAATAGTATAGTATTGTTCATGAAACTGGAAACGAAACAAACAACGAATCGATAACTCATCACACAATTGTTAACTCTTCTACTCATTAATATAATGCATTCATTCAGACATGTAATGTGATGTGTTTACGGTCTAATATTATTTTAATATATTTTTTCGACATATTTACCTGGGAGAACAGCGTATCACAAGCAGTGTTAATACCGACCACTATCGAACAACCAAACACATCGATGACCTGGAGCATGAATAGAACATATATGTACTGTGCGTATGGTGAATGTTGGTATAGGCTCAAGTTTGTGAAAAATAGATGTAAGTTCTCTTATGCTCATATAAAAAGCTACACGTGTTCTTTAAAAAGACGTTTTCTTTGTTTTTAAAATGTTAATTTATTTAAAGCCTCTGCACTGGTCACATACTTTTTATCACAATTCAATTATTCTCGAGGGGAATCAAATTAAAATAAGTATATGATATGCAATTTTCTGAAAACCATATGAACAAATATCAAGAAAAGCAGCTGATGGAAGCTCATGTATTTTTATCATTTCAGTAAATTTAACGTATTGTGTGCTCAGGACGTTTATCATATTCTGGATAGTGTTATTGATTCTATAAACCGATGAAACATACTTGATATCATAAATATTGGAATACGATAAATATTCAAATGAGAACAACGTGCAGGAACTACCTTAATAAACTTCATACACCGCCGTGATACCTGCTTGCTCAATAAAATATTGCCTAACGTTCCAAATAAGTTAAAGATAGGGGTTTCCAGATGGTTATATATCTCTTTATAATATCATGGCTACAAATCATTTGACTTTGGTAAAAGTTAGGAAGTGAGACGGGTCAAAGACTGGGACCTAGCACTGTCCCCAAATGAGGTTTCCAAGGTCACTTCAGAGAATGTCAATATGTCTTAAACCTCAGTTATGTTTTAATTAATTGTATGACCCCAGTTCGTTTCCGTATAGCTATAAAATATTATGAATAATCAATATATACAGTAAACTACGGTTATAACGAACACGCTTATAACGAACTGACGGATATAACGAACTTACTGTTTTGGTCCCGACTATTTGCTGTTGTTACACTGTATATATGCTTATAACGAACTACGGTTATAACGAACTAAAAGTAGTACAGTAAACTACGGTTATAACGACCACGGTTATAACGAACTGACGGATATAACGAACTTACTTTTTTGGTCCCGACTATTTGCTGTAGTTATGCTGTATATATGCTTATAACGAACTACGGTTATAACAAACTAAAATTAGTAGTCCCTTTGAGTTCGTTATAACCGTACTTTACTGTAGTCCCTTTGAGCTCGTTATAACCGTACTTTACTGTACTCTGATCGCCATTGGCTCTCATAATATAATTACTGTTCCTCATTGATGACATTTACGATGCCCAAACTATATCAATAATAATCTCAGCATATGCAACAACATACAGCCTGTCCAAGAGCTGTAGCGTCCAGCTGGAGTGTGCCAAGATGACCGGTAAACATGGCATTGGTGACGAGGATAAGTTGCTCCAGTGTTGAGGACACGGTCTGTAATGTCAAACCGTAAACTTGATAAAATAGACTTGTTATGAATTCTAACGTAAACTCAAACGTTCACCGCTGCTCTCATTCGTGACCAACTCGTGTTATTCCGGGACAAGCCGAATAGCGACTCGTGCACCCCTCATGGCCATTTCTGCGACCGGGCTCCGTTTTAGCGCAAACGGGCATACCCAAAACAATTGTCAACGCGTTGCGTAATGGTTCGAATGTTATTTCCCCATATAATATATATATTTCAGATGCAATTTAAAGCACATTTGGACGTGCGGAATTATACAGTATGATTGAACACATTTAACTGTGTCTTGGGTATATTTTAGATGCAAGACATATGTAAAATCAAACATTATTTGTGAGGGATTCTTTGACGAAGAACTTAAAATCATCCGCGCATTCTGATTGGTTTGTCGTATTTTCGGACATAACATTCATCGATAGGGGGACGAGTCTTCTTGCAGGTTACGGAAAGGGGCGAGTTGTGACGGATGCGCTGCTCTAGATTGCCTTATATATACTGCTTCCCTTTTTGCGAAGATATTTCTTTTATTTCTATGAAACACAAAACCGATTCTCCAAATATGTAAACTGTACATTTAATAGTCATATGATCCCTATCAAAAGTTGGATAGTATATAAACACATATGATATTCTGTGTTGCGGTATTCTTGTATTCACAATGATCCTGAAATCTTTCGAGCTATGCATAGTGTGTGTGAGTGAGTTGGGTTTGACGCCGCTTTTAACAGTATTCCAGTTATATTACGGCGTGCCTGCTTAATGTGGGAGGAAATCCCGAAGTGATGTAGGTCTCAGACGTAAACCTCTTCGGTGAAACCCACGAGCACGGATATGGTGCTGACAAACCTAGAAACATAATCGGGGCGAACCGGGATTCGAACCCACAATCATAGGTTTGTGGCGTGCCCAAGGGACGCATCTTTGCACAACGAATCGCGGCGCATTAGACGACTGGGCCACCCGTGCCCCTGAGCTATGCATAATGTTATTGCAATTAATCTGATACACTACAACTGATTAAGGTTTTGTATTGACTTTGTGTCTGGTCACATGCGATATTCCGCCGATAATCACGGATTTTTCAGTTATCCTTTCATAGTATTCATAATCTATTACTAAATTGCATTTTTTTGCCATATGGGATCTGTTTCAGCAGAAATACGAGACTGATGATTCTCTGACGTTGACGTTGACGTCTTGAATTGGTATTTATTTGCATCATTGTGTAACTTACCACAGGCCAGGCCAGGGTCAGCATCGCCCGGAGTTCATCTTTGTAAGCCTTTGAGAACTTCCACTTGTTAAGTCTCAAACACCGATGATATGTCTTTGGAGCGGTCTCTTCTGCTGCACACAAATACCATCGGAAATAATTATCGTAATTCCATTTACAGTGAAAAAAAACAACAGGATTAAAAGGTTTGAGTACACGTGCCCTTATTATGTCATATCTGTTCATATATCTCTCTCTCACACACATACCTTGTGTTATATCTCTCTCACACTCAAACAAATATACCTTCATATCTCTCTCTCACAAACATATCTTGTCGTGTCATACTCTCCCTCTCTCTCCCTCTCACAACCTCCCCCACTCTCTCAAACGCATATACCTTGTTATGTCATATTTCTTCATATATCTCTATCCCTCTCACTCTTCCCACTCCCTCCTCTCTCTCTCTCTCACTCTCTCTCTCTCTCTCTCTCTCTCTCTCTCTCTCTCTCTCTCTCTCTCTCTCTCTCTCCCTCTCTCAACCTCTCCCACTCTCTCAAACGCATATACCTTGTTATGTCATATTTCTTCATATATCTCTATCCCTCTCACTCTTCTCACTCCCTCCTCTATCTCTCTCTCTCTCTCTCTCTCTCTCTCTCTCTCTCTCTCTCTCTCTCTCTCTCTCTCTCTCTAAAACACATATACCTTGTTATGTCATATTTCTTCATATCTCTCTCTCACAAACATACCTTGTTGTGTCATATTTCCCATCCAACTCTTCTTATTCCCTCCCCTCCCTCTCTCTCCCTCTCTCACAAACAGATATACCTTGTTGTGTCATATCTCTTCATACCTCTCTTTCACACACATACCTTGTTACGTCATATTTCTTCATATATCTCTCTCCCTGTCTCTCTCTCACTCTTCTCACTCCCTCCCCTATCTCTCTCCCTCTCTCTCTCTCAAACACATATACCTTGTTATGTCATATCTCTTCATAATTCTCTCACAAACATACCTTGTTGTGTCATATATCCCACCCCTCTCTTCTTACTCCCTCTCTCTCCCTCTCTCTCTCCCTCTCTCTCAAACAGATATACCTTGTTGTGTCATATATATATTTCTCTCACACCCTTCTAACTGCATATCTCTATCTTCCTATCTTTCTGTCTCCCTTTCTCTCTCTCTCCCCCCTCTATCTCTCTCTCTTTCTCAAACAGATATACCTTGTTATATCATATTTCTCTTCTTACTCCCTCCCCTCCCTCTCTCTCCCTCTCTCTCTCCCTCTCTCTCAAACAGATATACCTTGTTGTGTCATATATATATTTCTCTCACACCCTTCTAACTGCCTATCTCTATCTTTCTATCTTTCTGTCTCCCTTTCTCTCTCTCTCCCTCAACCCCCCCCCCCCCCTCTCTCTCTCTCTCTCTTTCTCAAACAGATATACCTTGTTATATCATATTTCTTCATATCTCTCTCTCACAAACATACTTGTTGTGTCAAATTTCCCATCCCACTCTTCTTACTCCCCCCCCCCCCCCCCCCTCTCGCTCTCCCTCTCTCCCTCTCTCTGAAACAGATATACCTTGTTGTGTCATATCTCTTCATACTTCTCTCTCACACACATACCTTGTTGTGTCATACTTCTCTCTCTCTCTCTCTCTCTCTCTCTCTCTCCCTCTCTCTCAAACACATATACCTTGTTATGTCATATCTCTTCATAATTCTCTCTCATAAACATACCTTGTTGTGGCATACTTCTCTCTCTCTCGCCCTCTCTCTCAAACACATATACCTTGTTATGTCATATCTCTTCATAATTCTCTCTCACAAACATACCTTGTTGTGTCATACTTCTCTCTCTCTCTCTCTCTCTCTCTCCCTCTCTCTCAAACACATATACCTTGTTATGTCATATCTCTTCATAATTCTCTCTCACAAACATACCGTGTTGTGTCATACTTCTCTCTCTCTCGCCCTCTCTCTCAAATACATATACCTTGTTATGTCATATCTCTTCATAATTCTCTCTCACACACATACCTTGTTATGTCATATTTCCCATCCCACTCTTCTCACTCCCTCCACTCCCTCTCTCTCAAACACATATACCTTGTTATGTCATATCTCTTTATAATTCTCTCTCACACACATACCTAGTTGTGTCATACTTCTCTCTCTCTCGCTCTCTCTCTCAAATACATATACCTTGTTATGTCATATCTCTTCATAATTCTCTCTCACACACATACCTAGTTGTGTCATACTTATCTCTCTCTCTCTCTCTCTCTCTCTCTCTCTCTCTCTCTCTCTCTCTCTCACTCCCCTCCCCACCCACATCGATCGCTCTCTCTCTCTCAAACACATATACCGTGTTATGTCATATTTCTTCATATCACTCTCTCACAAACTTACTTTCTTGTGCCATATTTCTCCCTCACTCTTCTCACTCCCTCCCCTCCCACTCTCTGAAACATATACCTTATATTTCTTCATATCCCTCTCTTAAACACACTCTCTCACTCTTCTCACTCACTCCCTCTCTCTTACTCTCTCTATCTCAAACACACTCTCTCACTTCTCACTCACCCTCCCTCTCTCTCCCTCTCTCTCAAACACACTTTCTCCCTCTTCTCTCTCCCTCTCTCTCTCACTCTCTCTCGCTCACCTTTCTCTCAAACACACAAACCTTGTTATGTCACATCTCTTCATATCTTTCTCTCACAAAATTACCTTGTTGTGTCTCATATTTCTCTCTCATTCTTCTCACTCCCCCTCTCTCTCATCTCTCCCTCAAACAGATCTACTTTGTTATGTCATATCTCTCTCTCACAAAAAGACCTTGTTGTGTCACATTTCTCTCTCTCACTCTTCTCCCTCCCTCCCCTCGTTTTCTCTCTCTCTCCCTCTCTTTCTCTCTCTCTCTCTCATACACACATACATACCTTGTTCTGTAGTCTACCATTCTCTCTCACACACATACCTATCATACCTTGTTATATTTAATCATTTTTACAAATCTCTTTTTATATCTATCCTTCATTACCAACTGTTTCACATCATATCTGTTAGGTACAAACAATGCAGATGTTACACATTACTCTCAATATGTAAATTAGATTAGTCCTATAAAGATGTGGGGGTTTCCACTTTGCCAGTCGCTATTGTTCAGATATAGAAATCACTTAACCGTGACAATTCCCTATACAATAGGGGATTAGGTTATAGGTTAAAAATCTATATAGCCAGCCAAAAATATAAAAGAAATAGTAAATAACATAGGTTGTTTTTTCACTTCTAATTCTATAATTCTGGTGATATATTAATATTTAATAATAATATCGAACTGTTGTTTTGTTTATTTTATTGTATAATTACATTCATATCATTCGGAATTCATATTTTATTCACAAATGCTGTAGCCGGCTAATCAATATGTACATCACAAAATTAATTTATTCACATCAGCATAGCATATACAAACATAATACACGAACAACACGTGAAACAGCATCTTCACTGATGACATGGAAACAGACTTCAGTCAGCTCACCACTAACCAGTGACGAGAACAAGCGATAGGCAAAGTGGGACTGGGGGCAGGGCACTGCATGGTTCTGATGCCATTCTGCTGGAGGAAGTCTCTTAATGCTCTCGCAGTGTGGGCACGGGCGTTATCATCCTGAAACTCGTAGTTGCGGCGACGTGCCAAATGAGGTATGACGTGTGGTCTCAAGACTTGATCAATGTACCGAGCTGCTGTGACACCATTGTCTCTCCCTGGACCGATGTTCTGGGAGACCAAAGGGCCGACCCTCTGTTCAAGACCAATTCCACCCCACACCATGATGCCCGGACCACCCAGCGAGTCTCCATCAACAACACAAGCATCCGAATAACGTTCCCCGCGGCGTCGCCAGACTCTCTCTCTCTCTCTCTCTCTCTCTCTCTCTCTCTCTCTCTCTCTCTCTCTGCCATCTGCTGTTGAGATACAGTAACGACTCTGTGTGCTGTGTTGCCCACTGAAGGCGGTCCCGGCAATGACGTGGTGTCAGAATGGGTCCTCGGTGTGGCCTGTGACAGTGGAGGTGGCTGCTCGTCAATCGTCGACGCACGGTGTCCGCACTAATGTGTAGCTGGTGTGTCCCCATGGTCTGTTGAGCTGTTTCCGCAGCAGTAACAAAGCGATTTTGAAGATACTGTAGCACAATCTGACGATCCTGACGTCGGGTGGTGACCCTTGGTCTTCCACTACGTGGTCGGTCATCTGTGGTGTTGTGGTCTGGTACCGTTGATGGAGCCTTTATATGGTCCTTACGTGGACTTGAAATGCATTGGCTACTTGCCGGGCGGTTTGTCCAGCTTGCAATCGTCCAAGGGCTTGGTGTCGCTGATTTCTTGTCAATCTTGGCATGTGGTAGCAATTCAATAACGAATGAATGTTGTCCGATCTGGGTGGAATTTTTTAGGGCAAGAAATGGGGGAACGCATGTGCATATCAATTTACTCGGAACTCACGTGCATCGTAAATCGGGTTACCATAGCCGTTGCCGTGATGCGGTTTTATTATCATCTGCTTTGGGTTTTTTTATCATCAAATTTCATTTTTCCGGAAAAGGAATTGTTAAATTTTAGAAACTTTGACAAAAGATATTTAAATTACAACTGTTCATGCAATGTTACTTTGGGTGACGTTTCTATTGCGGTTCAGTATATATGGGGTATATATATATGAAATTTTCTTTTGAAATTATTGTTGCGTTTCCTTCCCCTTTATGTTGTGCGTGCTATGCGACGCACAACAGTAGTATTTGTTAGTATAATTGAGCGTCGCCTAAGACGACTATGTAAGGTAAAGTTTTTATTGCACCTGAAGATTTACACGTCACTTGTTGCTTAAAACAGCTGTGGTACATGTACATGTTATGCGTACTGATGGTTAATGTTTGTTGTAGAAGATTAGACTTGAAGAGTTTACACTCATTGACATTTTGAAAAGCATGAATAATTACCGGTATTTTAGCACGATTGTCGTAAACATAGTGTGGCATGAACACGAACATAGTGTTCTATTTATTACCGTCTACATACAGAGACGAATTTTAGTGTTTATATATGAGGACAGCAAGTCGCAACAGCAATGGGATCACAATTTGTGAAATGACGGCAACATTCTTCAGCTATGACGTCGTTTCTAGTGTGACGTCATTCCGACCTCAACTCTAAATGAGACTCGAATGACGTTAACAATGCCGGGTTTATATTTTTAGTATTCTATAATAAGTGCATACGTCACATGTTGCTCAAAACAGCTCTGGTACACGCTGTGTGTACTGATGGATAATGTTTGTTACAGAAGACTAAAATTTAAGAGTTTACACTCATTGACATTTTGAACGGCATGAATTCATTGGAACCCGGATCATCACTATATTAGAACCATTTTGGTCAGAATGATGGGTTTTTTACACAGAGTGGATTTATATCAATTTGCATTACACCTTGTCAAAGAGTTATATCTAAACGTATCAATTCCAACCATCAGTTACTGATGACAAATTAATTTATTATATTGTGGCACTGTTATTCTAGGTGTGAATAATCATTGCCATAAACAACATGAACGAAGCGGGGTTAATATAATTAACTATCTGACTGCACCTGTTACCACATAAAAGAAATACTAACTGTTATTTATTCGGCAATTATTTCCAATGCATTATAATGCTGTATTATAGATTTCATAAACTGAAAAGCCGGCAGTCAGTTGCTGGTATCCATGCCCTGGGCAATAACAGATAATACCCTCGAGTTTCTAACTTCACTAAATATTATAAACATCCTTTTAATATGTGTCTTATGTTGAGTCTTGACCTGTGAAAAAATGGTATTCAATCTTACATGTCATGTGTGTGTATATAGATACTAAACGTCTGTCATCTTCGTGTTGCGCCATCCCTGTTTGCAACATATTCATAGCGCGTCGTGGCTGATTGTCAGCAAGCCGTGGCATTGTGTAAGCGTTCTTTACGGTTAAACGAAAGAGTTTTTACGAGCACCTGATAGCTGAACAGTCATTGTGTGCTGTTCACATTACAAAACAACGTGTGTGAGTATCATGCTCCCAACAACCCGCAAACACCCAAATTGTGCGCCATGTATATTATCGTATCCTTAACGACATATTCAGTTGCAGTAGATTGTGTACAGCCTAATTATAACCCTTCACAAGAAACCCCTGACAAATTCCACTACCTGCACGTGTAAATTGAATTAAACTTTCCCAAGAAAACAAATCAAGCAGATGTCAAAGTTCATCGATATTAACTCTACCAAAGACAATAAAACCGTTTTTGACATGCTACATGAAAAAGATCATGTACACGGGGTTTTTTCATGTAGCAGTGCAAAAACATACTTTCCATCAACGAAATTTTCTTTTGAAATTATTGTTGCCATCTATGCGTTTCATTCCCTAACTGTGTTGCATAAATCATGCTTCTTAATTCTTTCTGTTTACTTGTAAGCAGTAGAACCTCTGCACTTGAATGCAGAAGGCATAGTTCATAATTAAGAAATCGTTATTACTTTCAATGAAATCAGTAAACTACTATTTTGCCTTTTATGCCCAAAAGAATTTGTTTCGGCAGATATTATCTCTGGCGTTTCACGACACGATTTGGTTCTCCTCCGAACATCTAAACGGGTAAACATTGTAACGAAACGGGAACTGGAATCACAAGTCAACTATGTAAGAAAGTTCATATGGAGAACGTATATCACTCGCAATTCTCTGAAAATGTTAAATGTTTTGAAAACTGACATTCCAGAAGAATGCCATTGCTTTCCTAAAAGGAATATCATTGCATATTAATGTCAAACATTAATGGGTAATACTATTACATTAAGAGAACTATGTTGCACATAATCATGTTGGAGTATCAGTAAGCGTTACATGCATATGAAAGCATATACTGTAGAATGTGCCTAGTGTTTTAATACCAAACACAACACACCACCATGCAATCTGCATGATGAACATGTGATCGATGGTAGTTACCTAGAAGAGTAATATGGAATTAATCACCATTTCTAAATACTGTAACTTTCTACAAATGGTTAAAGGACAAACCTTTTTGTTCTTCATCAGAATTTGAAGAGTCCATTACTCCTGCCAACCCCATAGAACAGCCGTGTGGACGACGTTCAGTCTGCCACAGCTGCTGGCAAGGTGAATGTGGATAATGTATTCTTGTGACGTTAGCTATAAATTAAAAGCGTATGTAGGTGGTATGTGTATGATATATTAAGGATATACACTTTTTGCTTTAGTTTATGATTTTAAACACTAACTGATATTACTGTCCAAATTTATAGCAACTGTATTCAACACCAAAAGCTCTGCTCCAATAGATACTCATCATTAGTTCACGGGTTGTATAAATATAAGCGACAAAACCCTTTCCATTGCCACACGAAATCTCTGCTAATAGCATTCGATGGTACGATTCTGACTATATCATGAGCGTGTGTTTATAAATCACTATCCAAAAGTGATTATACCAGGTTTTCCCGAAAAGCGAAAAGGTGAGCGTATCCTGCTCCAGTCGTGGCAACCGTAACAAACACATGCAAAGACAAGTCAAATGTTCACTAGAAAAAAACACGGAAACATATGGTACATTCCAATAATGCACCCAAACCAATATACAATTCACTTTATACAACAATGCCGTTCAAGCAGCATGGTTATTGTAATTTTGCCGTACTTTTTTGTATATTGAGTGGACAGTGGTCATGCCTGTTGCGTGAACTTTTCGCATTATAATCGGTGTCCATAATGGTAGTGGCATAATAGTATTGAATTATAAATACATATACTTATGATATTGTCGAATGGACTCTGCGTTTAGGAGAGATTGTTTATGATGATAGAATTGTTTTTGTTGCTTGTATCCATTTCACGATCTCAATTATTAGGATGTGCTCTAAGACAGACACATAGCTCTTATCGGATTAAACCCGTGAAGATCCGGGGTAGAATAGGTCTTCAGCAACCCATCCTTGCCGTAAAAGGCGACTATGCTTGTCGTAAGAGGCGACTAACGGGATCGGGTGGTCAGGCTCGCTGACTTGGTTGAATCATGTCATCGTATCCCAATTGCGTAGATCGATGCTCATGATATCAATCACTGGATTTGTCTGGTCCAGACCAGATTATTTACAGACCGCCGTCATATAGTTGGAATATATTGCTGGGCGCGGCGTTAAACAACAAACAAACAATGATCCCTTGTAGTATCTAGTGATATGCAGCTTAATGTGGGAGGAAAGCCCGAAGTAATGCAGGTCACAGATGTTAACCACTTTGATGAAACCCACGAGCACGGGTATGGTGCTGACAAACCTTGAAATTCAATTGGGGCGAACCGGGATTCGAACCCACAATCATAGGTTTCTGGCGTGACCAAGAGAGGCAATTCAGCACAACGGATTGCGGCGCGTTAGACAATTGGACCACCCGTGCCCTCACAAAATCAGTCTGACACTAGGGTGTAGCTTAGTTGTAGGTTTATGTGGTTTGACTTTTAGACTAGAAGCAGATGTCCGGGTGTTTTATGTTTGGGCGCAAACAGAGAGTACGAATCCCATCTTTAAGGAAATATTAGTAAGTAGGACACACACTGTTTTTAAATTATGGCCACACATTTATGAATACTTTGCGCTTCAGTTACCTCTTTATGGATTGTAATTTGTTCGTCGATTGCTACAATACCTAGAGGCTGTTGGAAGCGCTTGGGCGACGTTGCCAAGCATGAATTGTAATTGCTGGTGTCAACATGCAAACTAAATATAAAGCCTATCAATTGTAAAACACTATCTGATGATTTATTTAAAACTCGTTGAATGGTGTTTCTTCACACAGCTGTTGTCGGCAATAAACACATGGAACTGAACAAAATTCTAAATCATCTATAAGCAAATTTTAGACACCAGTCACTCCTTGTTTGAAAATGTATTATGCTGTTACAAGTTTAGCGTGATAATACCAGATACTGATGTCAAAAGATAACAGTGCTGCAAGACATGATTTAAATGTTGCAAGACTGGATACTAGGGTTGCAAGCTAAAATAATAATGCTACAAAACAGAATAATAGTGTTGCAAGACAGGCTCATAATGTTACAAGACTAGATAATACTGTTGCAAGACAGGCTCATAATGTTACAAGACTAGATAATACTGTTGCAAGACAGGCTCATAATGTTACAAGACTAGATAATACTGTTGCAAGACAGGCTCATAATGTTACAAGACTAGATAATAGTGTTGCAAGACAGGCTCATAATGTTACAAGACTAGATAATAGTGTTGCAAGGCAGGCTCATAATGTTACAAGACTAGATAATAGTGTTGCAAGACAGGCTCATAATGGCACAAGACTACATGATAATGTTGCAAGACAGGCTCATAATGTTACAAGACTTAAATGATAATGTTGCAAGACTAGATAATAGTGTTGCAAGACAGGCTCATAATGTTACAAAACTAGATAATAGTGTTGCAAGACAGGCTCATAATGTTACAAGACTAGATAATACTGTTGCAAGACAGGCTCATAATGTTACAAGACTAGATAATAGTGTTGCAAGACAGGCACATAATGTTACAAGACTAGATAATAGTGTTGCAAGACAGGCTCATAATGTCACAAGACTACATGATAATGTTGCAAGACAGGCTCATAATGTTACAAGACTAGACTAGAAGCAGATGTCTGGGTGTTTTATGTTTGGGCGCAAACAGAGAGTACGAATCCCATCTTTAAGTAAATATTAGTAAGTAGCACACACTGTTTTTAAATTATGGCCACACATTTATGAATACTTTGCGCTTCAGTTACCTCTTTATGGATTGTAATTTGTTCGTCGATTGCTACAATACCTAGAGGCTGTTGGAAGCGCTTGGGCGACGTTGCCAAGCATGAATTGTAATTGCTGGTGTCAACATGCAAACTAAATATAAAGCCTATCAATTGTAAAACACTATCTGATGATTTATTTAAAACTCGTTGAATGGTGTTTCTTCACACAGCTGTTGTCGGCAATAAACACATGGAACTGAACAAAATTCTAAATCATCTATAAGCAAATTTTAGACACCAGTCACTCCTTGTTTGAAAATGTATTATGCTGTTACAAGTTTAGCGTGATAATACCAGATACTGATGTCAAAAGATAACAGTGTTGCAAGACATGATTTAAATGTTGCAAGACTGGATACTAGGGTTGCAAGCTAAAATAATAATGCTACAAAACAGAATAATAGTGTTGCAAGACAGGCTCATAATGTTACAAGACTAGATAATACTGTTGCAAGACAGGCTCATAATGTTACAAGACTAGATAATACTGTTGCAAGACAGGCTCATAATGTTACAAGACTAGATAATACTGTTGCAAGACAGGCTCATAATGTCACAAGACTAGATAATAGTGTTGCAAGACAGGCTCATAATGTTACAAGACTAGATAATAGTGTTGCAAGGCAGGCTCATAATGTTACAAGACTAGATAATAGTGTTGCAAGACAGGCTCATAATGTTACAAGACTACATGATAATGTTGCAAGACAGGCTCATAATGTCACAAGACTTAAATGATAATGTTGCAAGACTAGATAATAGTGTTGCAAAACAGGTTCATAATGTTACAAGACTACATAAGAGTGTTGCAACTTAAATACGTGTTTAGCCGTGCCAATTTTCACTTGTCAGAGGGGTACACAAAGTACGTGATCTGGACTATCAGTTACCGGACATTCATTTTTGTTGAAGCCTCGGTAACTGAGTGGGTTAGATCGCTGACTTTGTGTGCTGGCCATTAGGTACCTCACTCTGCAGTGTGGGTTCGAATCCTGTATGGAACTCAACCCAAACAAATACTGGAATCTGTACTTTACTATGAAAGTGTTATCCCAAATACAACATTTGGTACGTTCGATCGACACTTCGACTTATGAATATGGAAAGGGATTTGTCGCTGTTATTTAAAACATGTGATATACGACCAACATGCACCCTATCCAAATAGATATCGTACAATGGACTCATTTTCTCTATTGTGGCATACGATTCACCAGCATCCACAATGAAATTGAAAATGATCCCAATTATTTTCTGCCTTATTTAAGTAACTGACGATGTTATTGTAAACAAAAGGGAAGTCACCTGTGATTATATTACCAACCAGTTGGTTCCAGTATAGTGGGAGTGGGCAGCCACAAGTAGTCGAGTTTTTATCATGAGCTGCAAAGTACACGTTTTGCAACACGTTCCGATAATTTGGAAGATTTTTTTGGTTAAAATATTTTTATTATGAACTGTTGGTGGATCCCGAAATTTCAAATATTGTGAAGCATTTAAGGAAATTTATTTGAGAATGTAACTTAACTTAAAGCATCAATTCACTTGTTTAGCCGTCATTCTTGTATTGATATATTTATTCGGAAATAATACAATACAACGAAACAATTGAATTACCAAACAACTATAAAATCAATACCAGTTGGAAAATTTATTTAACATGGCCAAGCCAGGCTACATGTCATTACAATTCTACCAGATGTAGACTAACGGGATCGGGTGGTCAGGCTCGCTGACTTGGTTGATGCATATCACCGTATCCCAATATTCGTGGATCGATGCTCATGATGTCAATCACTGGATTGCCTGTTCCAGAATCGATTATTTACAGACCGTCATATAGCTGGAATATTGCTGAGTGCGGCGTTAAACAACAAACAAACAAACAATAAACACTGTTTTAGGTAGAAAGAGCCCAAGCCTTGTGTAGTCATGTGACCAAGCAGCGACGTCATATGTTAGTGACGTCATGATCGCTAACCATCAGTCTTATCTCTGTGCATTCCCACGAGCAGACATGTCGGAAGAAAAGGGTGTCATGCAAACAAGCAATAACACGTATTGAGAAAAATGGAGATGAACTGTCAATGCTTCAGGCTTCTGTGGATGAATTAACAGGATTAACGTCAAGGCTAATCCTTCAGGACAACCTTCAAACCAGTGCATCGGGTTTAAAAGGCGAACGTCATTCGCGGGAATATGGTGGCCTCGCTCCGTCCCAAATACGACATGCTGTGAGTGAACTGACTGATCTACAGGGAGAATTTCATGCTGTAAAAG